CACTTGGAAATCCAAGTGAGCGTTCACAGCTGGCTCACTACCCAAACGCCGATAGTGAGTGACGTATGGATTCTGCTGTGACAGGTATCGATTGATAGAGTCAACAACGTCACCGTCAAGTGATCTACCCAAGGCAATGTTCCGCCGTTCTTCACCGTCGTCGATGTAAAGACGGGACCGGTTCACAAACTGTACGTCCCCAGCCTTAGTGGTAAACTTTTGACCAGGGTCGGACAGATTGTAGACCTGGTGGTACATTCTCCCTTCGATTTTAAAGAAAGAGAGACCACTGGGGTGCCTGTACCCACCAGATACCTCTAAAGCACAGAACGCAAACAGGTTGTTGTAGGCACGAGCCCTATCGAGAAAACGCCGATCCGAATAGAAGGATTCATCAAGAGGACTTAGATCAAGGACGTTGTATGCCCCTTGTCCGCAACACCACTTCTTCCTACCTTCCTCCTCAAAAAGTGGAGCGCCACAGTGCATACATTTAAAAATATCATTGTCCCAAAGACTAACTTTTTTAAGACTAAAAGCTGGAATATCATTCAACAGCTCCCCCTTCCAAGACCCCATTGGACCGTGATCAGAAATGCTTCGAGCAAGTGAAGCTGGCAAGTGACGAAGATCGGTAAATAGAGGATTTTTCAGACGGAAAATCTGCACTCTTCCAGAAGAAGCTCCGGGATGACGCAAGTCGTACTCTCGAACAGCCTTCCGGTGTATGTCAGGGTTATTTTGACTGTAACGGCCAACAGCAGCTCTGTTGACCTCAGGATGGGTTTGGCTGTAACGGCCAACAGCAGCTCTGTTGACCTCAGGGTGGGTTTGGCTGTAACGGCCTACAGCCTCCCTGTTCACCTCAGGATGGTTCTGGGAGTACTGACTATTTTTTTCTCTGATGTCATCAGAGTGCGTCTCTCTGTACTTCTTCTTTGCCGCTTGCACTTGCTCGTCATGCGTAGTGTCCAAAACTTTCGGACGCCCGCGTTTTACCTTTTTAGGTCTGCCAGGACCTTTTTTGACATCCAATACGGGATCTGAAACCGTCGGGGAGGGGGGAATAGGATTTGGATCAATAACCGCATGTTCGATCGGTTGGTTTGTACAGTCAATCGAAAACTTGAGTCTCATGATGCTGTACTCTCCACCGACGAACGCGGAATTTGTCAATAAAAGTGAGGCCAATGCAGTGAAACTACCACATTGAAATAGCCTCGCTTTGTTGTTATCGGGGACAACATCTCTACGGCGGATATTATTCACAGCGTGGGAATCAAAGAGATATGAGTGTTCTCGGTGACGCCAAAAGGCCACAGTCACTAATTGCCCCGTGAACAGAAACCCGCCGTCGAGAGAATCAACGGGCATTGAACTTTCCAAGACAGTTGACAGTGATGTCACTGCCTCATCAAGGCTGTCTACATTAGCCGGGTACAATCCGTTGCAGACGAACGACATTTCCTCGACGGTGACGTCCCTATCTGCAATTTCAAAACGCCTGGCAAGCTCCTCGGGGAACAAGTACCGGCTACCAACGTTATACTCACGGCGAGATTCTCTATACAAGCGATCACCGGCCGTGAGTATTTCATCGATAGCATTAGTGTTGAAACCACCGTGGAACACTTGCCAAGCTAGAGCACAGGCCGCATTGGCCACACACTGAGAGTTGTTACTGTCAATGAATCTTGGATCTCCTTGGTGAAAGGATCCAACAGCAACGCACGTAAAATCCATAATAAGCAATAAATACTCAAATAACACGAAGAACTTCGAAAAATTAGAGTTAAAGTATGCAACTCAAATCCAACTAGGGTAGTCAAATGAGTACGCAGAAATAAGAGCGAGAACCAATTCACCGATTCGTAACAGTAATTTTTGACATTAAACCTAAGTTTTGGGGGTCAAAGAGTAAAGTTACGAAAAAACATGTAATGAGTAAAATTTTAAGTAAAGTAAGGAGAATACAAAGCAATAATAATTTTTGGAAAAAAAAATTATTTAAGTATGAAAAAATGGCGAAAACCGGTAAAAATTTAATAAAACTTTGCCAAATTTTTTAAGTAGAGCGTTTTTTGAAGCTTAAAGAGTTCGATTTTCGGAAAACGCTTGATAGGGTTTAGTAGAAAATTTAATTTCCTTTCGCTAAGATCCTTTCAAATCTTTTCTTACGGTTTTCGAGCTACATCCGGTTGAAAAAAACGTGTTTGTCGTTTTCAGAGGTCCGCCATTTTGGATTTTTAGGGTGGTTAACATTTGAAAATGGGACTTTTGAAAATTTCACCATTAGCTTATGATCCCTTGCTACAATACTACCAAATTCCAAGTCTCTAGCACGTTTCTAAACGATTCGTATGACCATACCAAAGTCATTAAATTTCAATCTTATTCTCCATAAGAATAACATGGGGCTCGTAAAAGTGGCAAAAAACCTTCAAATTTTGAGATTAAAATTAAGTTTTGGGGGTCAAGGAGTGAAGTTACGAAAAAACATGTAATGAGTAAAATTTAAAGTAAAGTAAGGAGAATACAAAGCAATAATAATTTTTGAAAAATAAATTGTTTAAGTATGAAAAAATGGCGAAAACCGGTAAAAATTTAATAAAAATTTACCAAATTTTGAAAGTAGGCCGTTTTTTTAAGCTGAAGGAGTCCGATTTTTGGAAAACGCTGAAGAGGGTTTTGTAGAAAATTTTATTCCTGTTCCTGGATATACTTTCAAATCTTTTCTATCTCTTACCGTTTTCGAGCTACATCCGGTTGAAAGAAAGTGTTTTTTTCATTTTCAGAGGTCCGCCATTTTGGATTTTTGGATGGGTTAAAATTTGAAAATGGGACTTTTGCACATTCCACCGCCAACGTAAGATCTCTCACTACAATACTACGCAAATTTGAAGTCTCTAGCACGTTTCTAAGTTGTTCAGATGAGCTTACCAAAGTCGGCAATTTTCTATGCTATTTCCCATAAGAATAACATGGGGGGGAAATTCGAGATTACGGGGGGGTTAAAATAAAAAAATGTCACTTTTTAGAATTTTCCCGGGGGTTTGGGCACTAGACCTACAACCACCGAAAATCTCAAGTCTCTAGCTCATCTAGAAGTGGTCTAGAATTAGTATCCCCAGTGAGTGAGTGAGTCGGTTACACATCGGGCTGTATAGTTAGTTGTCTAGAATTAGTATCCCCAGTGAGTGAGTGAGTCAGTTACACATCGGGCTGTATAGTTAGTTAGACTCGCCTTTGGCTCGCTGGTATAAATGGTATAATATATGGTATAATAAATGGTATAAATGGTATAAACTATGCATTAAAACCTTGATAAAAATTTTTTATACGAAAATTTCAAAACAAAATTTTCTAACAGCCATCTAGGATTCGAACCCGGGACTCCAGCGTGGGAGTCGGCCCCTTTAGCCACTACACCACAACCGCTTCATATCAGTACAGTCAACAAAACCCATTACGAATAAAAGTAGCTGTATTTGGTCTCGTAAAACAAGATTTTCTTAAGACATTTTATGTAATTTGTTATCATTAAAATAGCCTAACTGCGTGACATTGATATTTTCGGCTGTTTAATAGCAAAGGTACAATTAATTAATTATTAATATAATATTCTCCTTATTTATAGGCCACTACACTTACAATTTTAAAATTATACGTCAGTTTAAAGATTTTGTTGTGTTATAATAAAATTGTACAATAGATGTATGTACAGGATTTTGTCATCTGGGTTCAAATCTGGACACTTTATTACTTTACTACTAATTACTTTAAAGGAGAAATGCCTATATTATCTGCCCCCTTACTGTACCACATTTCAACTCAATCAGTTCAGTAAATTGTGCTTGCGAGAGCAACAAAAATATTATATATATTATAAGAAGTGTTTGGGATTCCAGTTACAAAACCCAAATGTGGCAACAATTCCTTATAATAATTCCAGTTATTGTCAAAAACTCATTTATACATGAGCATAAATGGAAAATTATTATTCCATATATGAGTAATTTAATTCCATACCTGGGAGTCATATATGGCCATATATAGACAATAATTCCATATTGGAGGATATTTATGGCCATATATGGACAATCATTTCATATATAGAAAACATGTATGGTCATATATGGACAATCATTTCATATATAGAAAACATGTATGGCCATATATGGCCAATAATTCCATATATAGACTACATATATGACCATATATGGACACCCCCATATATGGATACAACCACATCTGGCCATATCTGCTTCCATATATGGCTATAAAAAACCATATATGGCTTTATAAAAACATACATGGAATTTTGATATGGCCATATATGGCCAGAAATTACTTTTTTTATAGGGGGCGTGAGTACGGCATTTGTTCGCATTCAAATTCGTGCCTTACTCGCTCCATTCCAGCCAACATTAATCCAAAATATTGTACTGTACTCGTGTTGCGAACGACTTGATTTGAGCTGGCTTGAGTCCATGTTTAACTCGGACTAAAAAATCTATAATTTTCCGAGCCAGGAGATGGCCGAGTTATCCGGACTGCCGGGTTATCGAGTGCCGAGTATGCGGGACTCTACTGTATCAACTGTTGTAGATTTAAGATACCTGTCAGCAGTTCCAATCGTGTTAGATGTTTTTGTAAGATGCTGTTGTCAATTGCGACCGAAGCTTGAATAGCCTCGTTTGATTGCCAAACTATTCAGGCAGATTTAATCTATTACCAGGACTAAAGTATTTGACAATCGTCAAACCTCAAAGTATCATACAACGTTTGTTAGTAATTTTGTTGATTGCTATTACAGTCATACCTGTTTTAAGTCGGTTGATTGTGTATTTCTTCTTTCTTTTCATATATGGTAATTTTTTGATGTTACGAATTTATTTATGGTTGTTATTAAGAATTAACACAGAAAACTGTGCACCTAATTACTCTTTATTGTTACTCAAAACCTTTGAACTGTTTCACATGAATAAAATCAATTTCAGGCAACGGTGCTAGAAGAGATGCCATCCTTCCCAGAACGGGAATCATCAATCCTTGCAGTGCTGAAGAAGAAGAAGCCGGGACGAGTGCCTGAAAACGAGATCAGACCTGCACACAACTCTCATAACCATCAAGCTGACTCTACTACCACCACGACGGCAACGCATGTGAGTCTTAGTGTCTACAAAGTGAACATAGTATTAACATTCTGCAATATTCTTGAAAATGTGTGATCGTTGGTTCAGTTGTTGGGTCGTAAAAAGCTGGCTTGATATCTGCATTGCATTAGAGAATGGTTCTACCATTGATGTCTTGTTTTCTGGCAAGGGCAATCAACAAAAATTTCTCGTAAGAAAATTACATTTAATACTCAATCCACATTATAGTGGGACAGTGGAGGATCCAGGACATGATTTTGGGTGGGGTGGGGAAAGTTTGATTGTAAGGGTAAATTTCCAGGGGGGGGGGATAGAGCAAAGGGTGGGTTGGTTTTGTATTTTTTTAAATATCTTAATCTAAAATCAAAAAGCTGCGACCATTTTAATTTTTAATTTTAAAACTACTATCAAATCGCTATTTTTACAAAAGAAATGTCTAGAACACTTAAATTTTGCATTTAAAAACTCCTATCATACGACATAAAGTTTAATAAGATCTACAAAAAATAACTGAATCACCAAAATTTTTAGGTGCAAAAAGAGGTTAAACAAGGCTAAGCTAGTCTGGTTTTCCTCATTTACAGCTATAAATTATGATATTTCCCTAATTTTGTATTCAATCTTTTTGAACTTTGTGTAGTTTGGTAGGAAATTTTAAATGTCAAATCAAAGTGTTCCTAGACATTTTTTTCATAAAATTAGTCATTTTTTGCTATTTCAATTTTAAAAAATTTAACAGCTGTGGTTTTGGATTGGATTAAGATGAATTTTTTTTTACGTGGGTCTGTTTTATTTCAACATATATACCAAGTTTCATAATGATCGGTTGAAAAAATTCTAAGATAAAAATGTTTCTGTGAATAAACAAAATGGCGGATATCTGGTGGCAGATAACAAAGCGATTTTGGAAAATATGTTATTCTTGATATTCTCTTTATTTTGACCCATAGAATGATTTTTCGGAGTTCAGGTGTTTACTTATGGGACATTATGTATACATATTTTTTTATTCTAGCCTAGGAGGAATAATTTTACTTGATTGGAATAAAAATATTATTTCGAGGAATGATATTTTAAGTTGGCCTATTTTACCAATTTTAAGTAAACATATTACAAATGAAGTGCTCATAATCACTTTCTATCCAAGCACTTCTTTATACTTACACATAGCTATTATGTTTAATTTGTATGAAGCTGAATGTTTACATTTCCCGTGCTGGAGTGGACCATTTATCTAAGCCTGTCATTCTAGACCTTGTGCTCTTTGTTACAGCTGTTGATATTGTTTGTTGCAGACTTCTCACACCAACAACAACGTGGCCACTGACCTGTTGGGACTGTCGACTCCCTCTGTACCCAGTTCCAACACCGGAGTGTTGGTGGATGTTCTGGGTGATATATACAACAGCAGTCCAGCTCCCCCCACACAGAACACCTACAACCCCAAGAAGTAACTATCACAATCTATTGTCTATTTACATTCTTTGAAACTGTTCACCATCCTGAGTATCGTTTCACCATTTAAGTAGTAATGTTTTAGTTTTGAGGTACCTTAACTTTTTTCAATCATTTGATATATAGGCCTATATATAATAGTATAGGAGAACTTACGGTGAGTCGGTGGTTCAGTCGGTAGCGTCGCGGACTTCGGGGCCAAGGCAGCAATGTAGTAGGTTCGGATCCTGGTATGCCACGAACATTTTATCAGTACAGTTCACCTCCGTACTGTATCAGCTCAGTCCTTGCTTTGCTGGATACGTTCCACGCATGGTCAGTTAGTCTATGACCATGACTGGACTCACAGAATCTGGCGTATCTTCAAAATAATAGCATACAATCGTAGTTTTCTGGTCATGTCGTTTTGTGTTCTCATGTTGCGATTATATTTCGTCTAGCTATTGAGAAGGAAACGCATATTGTGCCTTAGTGTGCACGTTAGGGTAGTGGGTTTTTAATTTCTCGTTGCTCGAGGTTACCGCCAATAATAATATTTCCACAGGCTATTAAGAAAAGTTATCCTATTTTAGGTTTGAAGTAGCCTAAGTATTAGTCTCATTTATCATTTTGAAATCAGATTAAGGAGTCTGATTTTCTTCAATTGCAATTGCATATTGCATACTAAACTTTTCCCTATAATATTTTTTATAACCTTAACTAGGCACTTTAACAAGTACTGTATTTATTTATCAAGATTTTTGTAGTTTTGAGATTCAAAATATCTCTTTTCAACTATCAATATTTTGGTAGCCTATGTAATGTATTTTAAAATAAAGAAATTATGGATTTTTAAATATAAAAAGTTTGGCATTATTATTCCTCTTTTAGACTTGCATTTGCCCGTTCACATAGACTTGCTTTGCTGGAAACGTTCCACGCATGGTCAGTTAGTCTATGTCATAGACTAACTGACCATGCGTGGAACGTTTCCAGTAAATAATAATGCCAAACTTTTTATATTTAAAAATCCATAATTTCTTGATTGTCTTTTAAAAGTAGATATATTTATTTTGAGTAGACTTTTTGAATGTGTGTGACCTGATTGTGGCTGAAGGTTGTGATATCTTTCTACTTTGACTTTACTAAGATAAATGCCTAAGGAGTTTCACCTCCAGTTGTATCTGGCTAGATTAAAGAGCATGCAGAAAATTAGCTCAAACATAATTCCTGGCATTTTACATCTGACTGAGGTGCCTAAATTAAGTAATACTATTGACATAATGTTTTTTCAGGTTTGTGTGCAAAAATAATGGAGTGCTATTTGAAAATGACCTTATTCAAATCGGTGTCAAGTGTGAGTTTCGGCAAAACCTTGGTAGGCTTGGCCTTTTCTACGGCAACAAGACATCATTTCCTCTTCAGGTGAGGTTTTTAATGAGGATAATGTATGGTTATCTTTCTTCTAGGACTGACATTCTTCTTACTTAATTGTACCTTTCAGTTTACTTTATTGTGTTATTGTGTAATGTTATTTACTCTTACTTACTCTCAGGGCCATGCATATCTAAGAAGATATTTGGCCGCACCAACAAAGCCTCTCCATCTTGCTCTATCCTCTGCATCCTCCTCAGTTGCTCCTAGTTGCTCCATGTCTTTCTTTACTTGGCTCCACCATTTTTGTTTTGGCCTTCCTCTCGGTCGTCTTCCTTCGGGATTTCTTAGTAAAACTAATTTTAACTTATTTTGCTCCTCTCTTCGTAAAACATGTCCAGCCCATCTAACTCTTCTACACTTAAATTCACACACCACATCTGGATCTCTGTAGAGTTCTCTCAGTTCTCTGTTGTGTCTCTTCCTCCATTCATCACCTTCATAAATTGGTCCATAGATTTTTCTTAAAATCTTATTTTCGAATGTTATTAACTTCTTTTCTTCTTTTTTATTTGGTTTCCATGTTTCAGCTCCGTATAATAATACTGGGCTTATTATTGTCTTATAAATTCTAACTTTGGTGTTTTTTGACAGTAACTTAGAGGACATCAGACTGTTGCAAGCTTAGAAACATCTGTTTGCCAGATTTAGTCTATTTTGAATTTCTATTTCTTCTTTGTTTTCCCTGGATAAGATAACCCTTAAGTACTTAAAATGTTCTACTTTTTCAAATTTATGGTCATCTACCTGCAGTAATGTTATTTACACAACATAATATTTGTAAAATTATAATTCCTAGAGTAACCTTACCTTATTCCTTACCTAATTAAATAATTTAATAAGGATACCCGCCGATCTGGAAAACCTGGAATTATGTGTGGTTTTTTTACCGGGGAAAACCCAGGGATTTAGGGATGACCCAACCCTAGATTCTTGGTTTTTTCCCGGTTGTTAAAGTCGGTTGTCGGTTTTACCGGTTTTAGCAAAATTATGAGTGAATTTTGTATTTTTACTGGGGATTTTAAATCTACCGCTATTGTGCATGACAATGATAACGTTAAATTGACCGCGGGAGACGATGATGATGTCCACACAGTCGCAGTATATGTTCATGGTTTTGCCGTGATTTGTGAGACAATGACGATGTTACACGATCGCGGAGGACGATGATAACATCACTTGAAAAAAAACCCATAACTCCAAAATTATATACTTTATGAAAGTACATAAAGACATTGATTGGTGTAGTAATCCTTACAGAAAATTTGATAAAAATAAAATTATCGGTATAGAGAATCTATTTTTTAGGTATCTGTATGGAGAATCAATAGATTTTTTTATCGACACATCACTATTTTAAGAAGTTATTAATTATTTGCGGATTAAGAATTAGTTTTTAATTTTGTGATTATTTATTCAGAGTAATATTTAAAAACTGCAATTTGTATGATTTAAGGGTGTAGCATAGAGCACAAGGGCCTAGATTTTTTAGGATTTTTTGAGAGGATAGCAGGCTTACCTGAATGGGAAAGAGTCCAAACTGGCACAGGAAACACAAAACATAACTTTACACTATAGTTTAAAGTAGTGTCCATAGTGTAAAGTTATGTTTTGTGTTTCCTGTGCCAGTTTGGACTCTTTCCCATTCAGGTAAGCCTGCTATCCTCTCAAAAAATCCTAAAAAATTTGTATGATTTGTTTTGTATGTTTTTAGAGTTTCTCAGCGACATTGCAGAACCCAGGGGAGTGGGTCAACAAGCTGAATATTCAAGTGAGGGCCGTTGAACCTGTGCTGGAGGCTGGTGCACAGATACAACAGATGGTCAATGCCGAGTGTATAGAGGACTACACAGGTCAGTTATTGACATCTGATAACCCATCTGGCCGCATATTGTCGGAGAACACAAACATAATTTTTACATAAGGTTCTCAAGGCTAAGTGGCGAACTCTGTAGTTGCAATAGCCACACATTACATTGCCTTTGCCATTTGGGATTGACATTTTTTATGAATTAGTGATGTTAGAAACCAGAAATTTCCATGTAATCTCCTGTGCAATTACGCCAAAATAATGATGTCACTTGATTGTCTAGTTACATTGTGAATGATTGCCAGAGTTTAGCTGGCAGCTTAAACTAAGTTAGTCTTTTGTTGTTTATGTTAATTCTTTTAACTTGACCCAAATTTAGATGGGGTTGGATCAAGATTAGGTACTTTCTTAGTGAGTCTTTCCTTAGTTAAGTGCAGACAGAATATCACAATAGTGTATGAGTGTAAGTAATTACCCATTTATGACAATCTGTGATATTTTAATTCTTTCAGATTCACCATCCATGATTGTGGCATTTATGTACAACAACGTACCACAGAAAGTCATTATGAAGTTGCCACTAACACTTAACAAGTTCTTTGAACCAACTGAAATGAATGGAGAGTCCTTCTTTGCAAGGTGGAAAAATCTTGGAGGGTAAGCATCCAAAGAAGCCAGAAAAAGCTTCATTAGAAAATCCCTTAGTTAATTAGTTTTCCATTTTCAGTCGGTTTTAAGCGTTAGTACCAAAAAGGCTAGTCTTATACTCAGCATAAAAAATATTACACAAAAGTGTAGCTATTGAAAAAGGTATATAAAAAAAGTGTACACATTCAAATTGTCATCGGCCCGTAGCTAATATGATGGCCTTTGAGGAATTTGTGCAATATAACAGATCATTTACATTAACTAGGAATAAAATTGGCCCTTATACAAAACCTTGAGACAAAAAATTTAGACTCAACATGGTTTTTTTGCCAACGAGTGTGAAAAGTCCATAGGTTTTGTTTTTTACAGATCCGGCTTCCTTCAATTTTGACAATTCTCTAATAGTTGATTTTTAGGAACTGAAATCACACCTAGAAACTTTATTTCAAACTTTTCTTGCGATAAAACCAATTATCTATTTTACTTATTTAATACGCAAGCAGGTTTTTTGTGACAATTACTCCTCCGAAACTACTGAACCAATTGACATGTTTTTGGTGTCATTGGAAAGAGCGTAATGTGAAGTTGTGCAGGAAACTTTCTTTTTAGGGAAATAATTAGAGAGTGAGGCCCCGGGTCCCTTTAAAGATTCGTATTTCTCCATAAGATTAACATGGGAAACAAACATTGTTATGAAACTCCAGCTGTTGTCAGAAATGCTGTTCTGCTATTTAGTTTAATTTGTTTACAAGAATAATTTTTCTTGGTGTCATGTGGTCAATGAATTGTACTTTTTCATATATTATAAATGCAATACACTATATAAAATGATTGTAAAATATTAAAAGATCTTCATTTAAATAATCAATAAGCACGATTGAGCCTTTGCCTATATATGTTTCCTGGTAAGTGTGTTGTAACTGTTTCTTATAGTATCTTATAGTAAAACCGAATCATTCTTTTCTTCATTCTCATCCCGTAGCGAAGCACGGGCAAAGCAACTAGTTTACTTTAAAGTACCTACAATACATATTCTTTGAGCTTGCGAAAACACCAGGTTGAGTCTTTTAAAAACCCCTGTACCCCCCTAATTAGATCTTAAGACAAAGGCCTGACTTGAGAAGAGCAAAGATAACCTCTAACCTCATATGGAATTAAACCTTGGTATTCTAAGACATATTTTTTATATCTGTTTTGTCTGCATATAATACATGGTGGCATGATTTTTTGCAGTAACCCACAGAAATCTCAGAAGATATTTCGCGCTTCACAGTCAATGGACTTGACAGCAGCTCGCACCAAGGTGTTGGGCTTTGGCATGCAGCTCCTGGATGGTATAGACCCCAACCCGGACAACTTTGTGTGTGCTGGCATCATACACACACGCACACAGCAGATCGGTTGTCTTCTGCGTCTGGAACCCAACAAGCAAGCCCAGGTAACAACAATATCAAATTATTATTATCTGTATAGTTAATACAATAAGTACACCCCCCCCCCCTTAAGTTTCCCGTAAACCCCTTTTTAGACCGTTCTACTCAACTGATTTTTACGAGTAAGGTGGAATTTTGATCTACACAACTTCAAATGGTAATTAGAAAGGTACTTTTCTTTAGTGCTTTGCTCCCCTAGCGTTTGATGTTGTGTTGATTTTGCTTCAAAGATTCAGTGATGCTGACCAACTTTCTTTATAACGGTTTAAAATCTGAATTTAAAACATGAACAGCTGATCTTTCTGTTGACTTTTTCACTGCAGTCAGATTGTAAACAGGAGACAAAACTGTTGATGAAATTTATTTAAAATAGGCTACTTTTAATAACTGTAACCTGATTGAGTTAGGTAAATCACTCTTTGTGTTGTAGATCTAATAGCAAATAAATTTATTAATTGTAAATTGGTAGTTTTATTCACCTAACTGAGATCGTTTGTTGTCAAACTAACAGGTGAATAAAACTACCAATTAACAATTAATTAATTATTTGCTATTAGATCTACAACACAAAGAGTGATTTGCATTTTGTTTAATTAAATCAAATGTTTGAAAAGTAAAAGGGTATTGCAATATTCGTTTGCATCGGAATCGGACCTTATTAAAGTGTAAATTTTTTGCTTAAGTCTCCTCGTAATACTAAACCAGTTATGCCTAAATGTTCAGCCTATATGGGCTTTTTGTATTCCCCGTTTGATGTCTCAGAGTCTTTCAAACAATCTCAATATCTCGGTGATATTGCGAGAAACAAACTCGGCTTGACTTGAAATTATTTCTGGTTCCCACCAAATTCTCTGTCTAAAAAATTCTGCAAACCCTCAATCCTGTTCATGACCCATTCTTAAGGAGGGTGTCCGCCCATATCGTAGTTCCAAAAGTGATTTCCCTTACTTTATTCAGAACTGTGCAGTCTCCTCAGACTATTCACATTTCCAGCATGCTGTGTATATACAGGATGTTTTTAAAAGAACGCTAGGATTTTAAACGGTTTTTGCTCGGGGGCTATTCAAGATAATTAAATGATTTAGTCGAATTGAAAGGAAAAGAACAAAGTTTTTTCTCATACTTTGATACAATTCGGAATAAAATTCAGATTTTCGTCAATCTCATATGAGCGTAAAACTGGCTAAGTCTGTACGCTTAGGATGATCGGCGGGTTTATCTGATGTCTTAACCAAATATTTTTAGGCACAAAGCCTATCTTTTATAGATAAAATCATGAAGTTTTGATCTAGGTACTGGTATGTTCAACTGAAGACATCATCGGGCAATTGATGTTTTGGGGCTTCTGATGCAGAATTGTCGGATTTCTTCGACTATAGCCTCGTTCACACGGGGCAAGTTTACAAGCTACTCACCAGCGTGTAAGAAGCAGGCGAGTTGGCAAGTGCGCTTGTATTCATTCACCTGGAGCTTGTCCACTCGCCGACGTGTGTAGAAAGATGCTGGCGAGTCAGTGGGTGTGCTTGTAGTTGTTCACACGATGCTTTTTTTCTACTCGCTCAGTAGCTGGCTTGAACCAAATCCTCCGACATCTTTGAATAACATGTGCACAATCACAAGCAACTGTGTTCACACTGGGCTACTTTACACGCCTACTTGCTCAAAAGCTGGCGAGTTGGCGTGTAAAGTAGCGGCAGCGTCAACTTTTTCCAGAGCTTTTTTACAAGCAGCTTTTTTTTAGCACGATGTACTTGCTCAACAAGTACATCGTTCACACTGATCTATTGTACTAGCTGCGTGTAAAAAAGCCGGCGTGTAGCTTGTAAACTCGCTCTGTGGGAACAGGGCTTAAGTCATCGTTTGTTTTGGGCCTTTCAGGTGAATTTCTTTTCAAAACACTACGGTACCACAAAACTCATCAAATTTCTTTATCGATAAGTAGATTTAAATTTAGTTTAATTTAGCAATCGATATAAACTCTGTGAACCACAGATTACACTCTGAGCTGTTGCAACACATACCTCAGCATTAGTGACAAACTCAGGTGTGTGAGTCGCAAGAGCGGCCTACCTGTTTTGCGCATGCCAAGGTCAAAGTTTCCTCCCTTCCTACACTGGAAGCATAACTTAGTTATTTTAGCTTCAATTTGACGTTTAAAACATTTATTTTCCTAGAATAGTATCCAAGCAATTACCATTTAAAATCCCGGCATTCTTTTATAAACACCCAGTATTGTGGATTCTCAAAAGCGATATAGCAATTCTTCAGCAAACCCTGAGGTTGCCTCTTACCTGGCCAAATCTATCAAAGACCTTAAACTTGATGTGCAATGTGCTAATGTGCATATCATCATATGCCTACTTTAAGATTTTCGTCTGACTGTTATTATTTCCTGCGCCCAACTCGCCTAAAACGTTATATAAGATGTTTTTAAACTGTTCCTAGACATCAACACTATAACTTTCTCAGATTAATATTTTGTTGCCAAGGTTTCCTGTAGACACCACACTCAGATTACTAAACACCATGCCCAGATTACGGTTAGGTTAGGTTAAGCTACACAAGGTGTCTAGTAATCTAGGTGTGGTGCCTAGTAAAGGAACTGCCCTGCCACGTTGTTTAAGCACGTTTTTTCTCCACCCAAAACCCCAAATTCCCACCAGTCCCCTAGATGGTAGGAGTTATTGCTGAATATATATCCGAATGTAGGGGTCAAAGGAAGCCCCGGCGATAAAAAAGTCATCTAAGAAAGTCGTAGTGTTGGTGCCTAAGAACAGATTAAAAACGTCTTGTAGTACGTTTTAGGTAAGTTGGGCGTCGGAAATATTTACCCTTCTGACAACTAGTTGGCTGTCCCCCGAAGAGGTAGTGTATCACTGAATAGCAATATTTTATGCCCAGTAATTTAGTTCCATGTTTTGTAGCTGTATCTTTATTATTTTTCAAAATATTTTACCATTCGCATCCTGTAGCCTATAACTTAAAATAGTGACAGAAGAGTTGTATGCCGTGTTGCAGATGTACAGGCTGACTGTCAGGTCCAGTAAAGAGCCAGTGTCAATAGAGATATGTGAACTGCTGGCTGACCAGTTTTAATCTGCTGTGCCTTGGGGTTGCCCAAGATCTGTGACTTCTATCGTTTCCGGACTTAGGTTATTGTAACTATTTAATTTATTCTATTCTCTTTTAAAGAGCCGTTTAGTCTCATATACATATGCCTATTAGTTGTTAACCAGTGTTATTTTTTATTATTTTTGTTATTTAAATTATATTTACAATGATGTATATCATTAGGACATTGTTAACTTGTAATATATATATCGTAAGAAATCTAATGATAGTCTGTGTTATTCTTCATGTTTTCCCTCTCACTTGTAAAGTTTAACATTTTCTCTCTTGTCGTAGAACCGAATGTAGTTATTATATTTTTCGAATAGTTATTCAGTGTTCACTGCTCAAAATTTATATATTTTCAAAGAGGCAGCATAAAACACTATCCTTATTGTTGTTAAAAAATCAATGATTTTGTTATAATCATCGACAAATTGTGAGAAATTTTTCTCAAAATTTCTTTTGATTAATTTTTATGAAAGAATTTATTTTTATTTCAATTGTCAAAATAGTTATGTATTTATTTTAAAAACATTAAGCTTACATTTTGACATGAAGATCTGATAATTAATTGGTGGTTACAAAATTTGTGTACTGCTTGAGCTAAAAATTTCTCATCATCATTGAAAATATACACTTGTTTTCCGAAATTATGCAAAAAATCTTATCTATGTGTCTTCTTTTGAGTGATGAAACCAGCTCTAGTCTAAGGAATGTCTAGGGCTACAAGATGTACAATAATCGTGCAATAAATTAACGATTGCTGCGTTACAGCATTTTGCTATTATTTCTTTGATATCAAATTTGTAAATCCTAAATTTACCATTCAGTCAGCAGGTTTTACAAATACGATCCCAGAGTAAGCGTAGTTGTAGTAACCACAGTGTTTAAGGTGTTTCTTTAAGACAGAGATAATGCATATTTTATAGATAACATCTTGTTGTATTTTTATGTTTGTCTTTGTTCTGGTATATGTCAAAGAAACATAGCTACACAAGTCACAACTTTACAAATGGTTGCTTAATGTTACTCTGTATTAGCTAACTGAAGTGGTTCTATGTTTTTTTTTTTCATAAATAATTAAGGGTCTTTAGATATTTTGTTATCCTATGTTAACCAATCCCCTATGTACTTTTGGCAAAGCATTCCCTCTCCATCCTTAATCTAATATAAGTTTGCCATACCTTTAAAATCCTATTACAAACTAGGTTTTCTCACTGGCAAGCGGTTTTATAGTTTTGTTAAGAGAATTTATTCTCGAAGCTGATTTTGAAATCCATTCTATGTTAATGGCAAATGTTAAATACAAATTATTTTGTACTATTTTCAAACATAGAAAATAACATCAAGAGGATGGTTTCTGTACAGATACCTTTTTTATACTATGTTACTTACTTTGCATCTCAATCTTCATTCTTGTAGCTAAGTTTTTGAGTCTTTATTTTTATTGAGATATAGATAACCATGTAGTAAAAATATTGAGAAAATGACTGATATGACATTTTAATTGATAGTGTTATAGTTATGTTTTACTGTGGGTGTAAATGTCGCTATTTCTCTCGTAAGTGGGATTGTACAATTAATTTGTTCAAGTCAGTAATGTAGTTAGAGATTACTACAGCTGCAGTTCACTTGATTGTCAACGTGCTATAGACAATACGTATTATCATTAGTATTGGAATGCAGATTCTCTGTTGCTGTTCTGCTTGTGTGTAGTGGAACATACTCTGTTATGTAATATATTCCATTTGTATAAAAATCAATAATATATCAGTAATTATAGGCGGAGTTTAAGCACGTGTGTTGATTTCACTGTCCAATGAGCTTGCTTTATTTACCCTTTAGGTGTATTTTCCAAGACGGCTGTGTGCAGAGGTTGGATGGTTACATTTCATCAGAATTTTTACACGTGTGAATTGAATATTTTTTGAAACTGGGTAAGCACACTGTTAGGCACTATTGCAAATAGTCCAAATCGGTTATATTGATTTTCTCCGTGTAATCTTTTCTCTTTTCTATGGTAAAATGCTTACAAATAAACTGTTCCAAATGTGCTCTTTTGCAAAAAAAAATTGGATTATATACCATCAAAAAAACTAACTAAATTGTGTTCACAATAAAAATGTGACAGGATAGAATTATTTTTGTATGTTAAATAATTTTTCTGATTTTTTTTAGAACTTTTAAAACTTTCTGTAATTTCAACTATAGTTATTTGTGCAACTAGTGAGCAAAGTGAGCAATTGACTCACTCGAGAGAAATCCTTACTCACGAGCCGTAGGCGAGTGAGGAATGGTTTCTCGAGTGAGGCAATTGTACTTTGCACTCGAGTTGCACATTATATTTTTCCTACAGTTACCATATAACAAATAAATTGGTGAAGAAACGTAACATATTTTTACACAGAAGTGACTTTTAATATAACATTTAATGTGAAGTGACAAATACAACAGTACAACAGCTGACCAGCTGATTTACAGCCAGTGCTGTCAACATATTTCGCGCACATACAACCTTGTCTGCATGTTACGCGCTTACTGTTCACATTGCAAATCTGGAGTGAGACAAAGTAATTAGAGTGAGACAGTGTTAACATTGTCTCACTGATGAGCGAATTGGCCACTTTGCTTTCTCAAATCAGTGAGATAACATGAGCATTGTTAGGTAACTGTAGGAAAAAAAATTATATCAACCTGAATCCTAATATTTAACTGAATATAGGAAGAAATGAAAACTATCAAAAAAAAAGTTGAGTCCGGAACATTTTGAACAATAAACTAAACGTTTTGCAATAACGGTATAAAAACAAGTTTGCTAAATAGTTGTTTGCACAGATTTACTCAAACCTGTTTGTACTTGTAACATAATATTATGTCATAAGTGTGGCTTTTATGCCCAAAATTAAACGAATGCTCGGGCTATTGCCATGAAATGTAACCTCCTGTAGTAATGATATTGGTATTTACCTTAGTGTCCTGAACTGTATGAAATTGTAAATGTTTAGCTCTAAATAAGCGTGTAGACCAAATTATTAGATTAGGTAATGCGGTGATGTTTTTTATTTAAAGTTTTTATATTTTGGAAGATGATCTGAATAAATTGCATCAGTTACCGTGCTTTATTGTAATAGTTTGTAATGGGTGAGTTTTAATACTGAATACAAATAGCTTTAATATTTTGTATGACAGCTATGATTGTAAAATCAATTGATTTCATCATTAAATGCTTACTTTTGTTATAGTGATTATTTTAATTATTAACGCATGTCCAATAAAATTTGTAACACAGTTTTGTCATTTTTTCACTGTTCAAAAATGTTTTAGTCAAAATTACTTTTTTGTTGCAGGTGAAAACTTTACTAACTTTATTTAAAATAAAGCCATAGTATGAACTAAAAACACTAAACTTGGCACAAACAATTGTTTCAATAATTTTTGTGTATATTTTTTCTTACTGCCCTCTCTCTACGTTTGGTTTTTGTAAAGCAAGATTGTGTATTTGTAAATATGAAAAAGTTGAGCTTTGTCTTTTACTACTTCTATGAATTAGACAAAGCTTATTATTTGTTGTAGTTCTTTATATTTTATATAGCACAATATTGTAAATTGTATACTATACTCTTGTGTTGTTAAAATTCATGTCCAAAATACAGCTGTAATATAAAGTGCTTTTAGATTCTTTGTTCTTTTCATTCCTTACCACTTTTCAGATAAAGATCATAAATCACACGGACAAATAGTAACTGTTCAACCCTCACCCGTGAAACTTGAGCTCTTAATGAAAAGAGTCACTTTACGCCCTAGTGAAATATATACTTACACAAGTCAAATACCACTCTCTGATCACTGAAACTCAAAAACTACTAACCATAAGAACTCAGGAATTGGCATGGAGAATTAGGTCTAGGTGTGCAATAAGAAGCTTTGTAAAAGAAGAAGTGAATTTTCGTGAGCAAAGCCACAACGGGGTAAGCTAGTATACTATACTTATAAACCTATGCACTAGTACATGATTTTCAAGGGAAAATAGTACAGTTTTCTTAAATGGAAGTAAACAACTTTTATTTACACAATATTAGAAGTTGATTTATGTACAATGTAATACAATGATGATATGAGTTATTTTTTATTTAATTTTAGTATTTTTTGAGACTCAGTTAATCTTATCTCAGAATATCACATCTTCTGCTGCTTCTTCACATTGTTGATTGATTCAATGTACGCTAGATCAAGAACCTGAAAAAAAATTATGATTATACTTAAATGGTCAAAATTCGTTAGCTCTGCCCCAACCCTTTAGAATGCAAGTTGCGCTAGGTTAGGTTAGGATAGTAATTTTACGTTCATTACTTCTAATTGAAAGTATTATACTATAAAGTAGTTTGAAAAATAGAGGGAAAGCCGCTTAAGTTAGTCAAAAAATTTACATATTTAGGCACGGTGTTATCAAACTATGGGAGGATGGCACAAGAGGTAACGGCTAGACTGGGGAAAGGTACAGATTCTCAAGTGTGTCTGGGATAACGATATACCAAAGACTGCAAAAATTACCTTACATAAAACTTATATACCGATAACCTATGGTGCAGAAGTTTGGAATATTAACAGAGAGAGAATGGAGTTGGGTTCAGGCAGGGGAAATGAAGTTTGTAAGAGGTATTAAATGGAAAACAGGATTGGATAGAATTAGAAACGAAGAGTTGGAGAAAGTTTGAGAGAACGAGTAGAGAAATTGAGAAAGAGATGGTTTGGCTACTTGAGAAGAATGGAAAATGAGTGAGCCTCACATTAACGGAAGGATTAGTTGCTGAAGGTCTAAATCCCAGATGGTCTAATTAGACCTTCGGCATACATTGTGCATTTTGTACTTATTGCTGAGGGTCAAAACGGGCAGTATGTCGAACAGGGTGTCTACCAGATATCTCAAATGGAATTCCCGACTTTTTCCCGACTTTTCATTACCATTTTTATATAAATCCCGACCAAACACTCGGTCCATTCTCCATGTTACTACACCTTTTTCCGTCTCGCGGTCACGGTACCTTCGTCAACATATGTTGTCACTTACGACCCAGCGAAATCACTGAAGATCGAAACGTATCACATGCCAAGAAAATCCCGTATTAAATGTAGGGGTGTGTGAAGCAGCAAAACATTTCAACTCAAAGCAACGATTCGATTTAAAAAAATGTTGATGTAACTCGGTTCGAAGCAACATGGATTTTTCTATTCATACTTCTCAGTGGAGTGAAATATCTGTTTTCAATCATACATTAGAAGAACCAGTATTTCTAGAAATATCAGTGAGCTTCTTGCCTATTTCATAATTTTTACTTGCAGCATCATGTTGTTAAGTATGTTACCTATTTTATTTTATTCATTTTATAAATAAAGATATGTTTGGGTGTAAACAAATAAAAACCTTTGTAAGATTTAAATACTGAATCTTTCAATTGGTTTACATTGATAAAATAAGAGGATAGAATCAGAACTACAAGGTATACATAACTTCTTGTATGGCGAAGCAATGTCTCAGTGTATGCCATGTACTTGGATGGCAATAACCTGTATGGCTAAGCAATGTCTCAGTGTATGCCATGTACTTGGATGGCAATAACCTGTATGGTCAAGCAATGTCTCAGTGTATGCCATGTACTTGGATGGCAATAACCTGTATGGTCAAGCAATGTCTCAGTGTATGCCATGTACTTGGATGGCAATAACCTGTATGGCTAAGCAATGTCTCAGTGTATGCCATGTACTTGGATGGCAATAACCTGTATGGCTAAGCAATGTCTAAGTGTATATCATGTACTTGGATGGCAATAACCTGTATGGCTAAGCAATGTCTCAGTGTATGCCATGTACTTGGATGGCAATAACCTGTATGGCTAAGCAATGTCTCAGTGTATGCCATATACTTGGATGGCAATAACCTGTATGGCTAAGCAATGTCTCAGTGTATGCCATGTACTTGGATGGCAATAACCTGTATGGTCAAGCAATGTCTCAGTGTATGCCATGTACTTGGATGGCAATAACCTGTATGGTCAAGCAATGTCTCAGTGTATGCCATGTACTTGGATGGCAATAACCTGTATGGCTAAGCAATGTCTCAGTACTCAGTGTATGCCATGTACTTGGATGGCAATAACCTGTATGGCTAAGCAATGTCTCAGTGTGTGCCATGTACTTGGATGGTAATAACTTGTATGGCTAAGCAATGTCTCATCTCAATGAATAGCTTATATAATTAATGTCAATCATTTGAATAATGTCAATAAGTTATATGGATACTGATAGTCAAAGTAACAGTATCAATGTAACAGTCAACTACGTATATGGATACTGATTCAATGACGTATAGACACTGATTCAAAAAGTTATTTGGATAATGATTCAATACCGTATATAGATACTGATTCCATAACGTATGGATGCTGATTCAAAAACGTATATTATGGACCCTGAATGCCCATGATTCAAATCGTTATTTTGATCATCACTGAATCGAATTGGAATTCCGATGCATTTTCGTTTCATCCCCCACCCCTCAAATGTAATCCCGTCCCAATGATCAGAAATATAAGATCCAGAACATTTTTTTAAAGTTTTGGGACCCGTTCATCCCTAATTTTGAAAGGTTAGATTATTCCCGACTTTCGGCCGAAATTCATGACTTTTTCACGACTTTTCCCGATCTTTCAAAATCCCCGACTTTTTCCCGAATTTCCCGGAATTCCCGACTGGTAGACACCCTGTCGAAGGTCTAAACAGCCAATGCAGAAAACTCATCCCCTGATACCGTTTTAGATCTAATCTAGGATGGCAATTTTGTTAAATTTCTTGATAACTGGAACGGGAGAGGATACGTATGTGTATCTATATAGAGGTTGTTTGTAAATCAAGGTCTCCCATCAATACAAAGCGAACTATTCCAAGTCTGACACCAGCACAATGTTCTGTTCTTACTCCCCACCACTATTGTAGTTTCTTCCCACCTGATTGAAATGCTAAGTAAAGTCACAATTAATTGAGTGTTGTGTGGTTGTGACGCTTGCGTCACAGCGGCAACGCATCAGACGTAAATCAGCTGATAACTGGAGAACTTGGTGGAGGGGGTAGGAAGCGCAGAGACAGATTAGTAGTTATAATAATCTAATCTATAATAATCTATTGATGCGTTATAATAATCTAATGTGTGTATAATGTTGCTAAATCTAACAACTTGCCGTCCAAAATTGCATTAAAGTCTGCTATGAACTTTTTATATTATCATGTCTCCTAATTAACCTCAACTGCACCTTGCCGTTTTACTACCAACTTCAACTTTTTTTATGGTTTTAATTAGGTGTATACGAGTAGTAAATTTATGGGTCGAGTTGAGTTTACAAAGAACCTCGCAAGCTTTGAATTGAGTATTTTTATAGTAAAGTGACATGCATGATTGATTCAAACTTTAAAAATTAAATCCTCTCAAAACAATTAATTAGGTACACAATGGTATGTAATCATTTCAATTAAAGCTTTTACAATTTATGTACGTTTCTAGTAAAAATTCTTTATACCTATTCAATTCTATGTTAATTTGTAAAAAATAAATCAATTAGCCTAGTAGAGATATTTACCCTTTTTTCTCCTCTCAGAACAGACGAGTCGTGTTGTGTAGATGACTGGATTTGACCTTCTACCAAGGAATCTTGATTGGTTTTCGTAACCTGATCAAAAGGGCAATTTGTAATACATTAGATTTTTTTTAGATCAATAAGATTTCATGATGGTATTTAGTTTTTAAAATAGTTTTCTTCACTAGGGTGTTAAGTGTCTTTTCAACCGTGGTTCATTTTCCGACCTCGTCTTCGCCTCCATCTTGAAACTTGAGCGAGGGTTTAAAAGACTTATTTCCTGTGTTATGTATATTTTTGTCATATTGCAAGATTAATTAAGAAACTAAGTTAGAAAAAAATACTTTTTATGTAAAGATAACCTCTCAACACGACTTCCAACTCGTTTTCAATTTTGCTATTGCAAACAAGCAGCTGTTTCGTGAATGAGTGTTTCAATTAGAGTCTATTACGATTGTTATAGTGTATATTATAATAATATTGATATGTCAAACTATTGACAAGGATGCAACGATAAGCTACAACCAATTTAATCAATCGATAGATAATTTTGAAACATGTGATAGCCTAAAATCAAAGTTTACAACCGGTTTATAACAGCTGTCTTCTATTCCCTAGGGACTAAAAAGGTTTTTTACTCCCTAGTGAGTAAAAGACAAAAAGCAGATGCAGTATGACAAAAAAATCAAATTCATAACCGTTTCCATTCTTCCAAATCTTCTAGAAGTTTGGGAAAACAATTTAGTGAAGATGACGATATTCTTCAGATTATTCCAATACAAACGATAGAAGACATACTGAAAGTATGTTACGTTTCTTGCTATGTATAATGGAAGTAGAAGACAATTTATGTCCCACATGACCTGTAGTGGAATTATACATCCCATCTATATATAGGAGTTGTTGCACAACATCCAATGATATACGTCAGTATCAAAAAGTCCAAAATTAAATGTTGAGCTGTCTCATGACCTCCAAATCTCATCATGTCCAAAAGTACAATAACTGCAAAAAACAGTCTGGACGTCCCGGGATTGATCGTCGTTCAACAGCGCACTTTATGCTCTTAAAAACATAGCAGTAGCACCTTGTCCAAAGCCATTGCCAGTAGCATGACGTCCAGAGCTCCTGCATACGGAGGAAGGTTAGTACTATAGACGGTAAAACAGTACTCACATAGGTGCTACAGTCTTAAAATTCATCCATACCACCCTTAAGTTTTGCTATTGTGAAAGATAATGTGACGCTATACATGATTACAACTCAAGAAAAACGTATGAAGCCTTCTTGTGGTTGAAATTTAGATATTTTAAAACAATTTCCCAAGTTAAATTTATGGTAAAAGTATAATTGTCATTGTATTATCTATTCATCATTCCATATTCTTTTTTTTGTGCATGTGCTTATTGATGTCTTTTGCATATTCAACAAACAAGTATTGTAATTTCTCCTGTGATTTATGTGAAAATGGTGAATCAATCCACAAATAAGTTAAATGAAATGAAATACTCACGTTTGCAAGGTTTCCAGATCTGTCTTCTTTTTCCCTGTTGTGTTTTGCAGTGTATCTGTCAAGGACATTTCGTACTGAAACAATGAATTTACTGTTGACTTACACATGTAAAAGTTGTACTGTACTCAAGTTCTACTGTACTACTCATTCACCTTTGTACATAACTTATACGAGTTATGCGACAAATTGTTAAAAAAGTTAAAATCTACAACTAAAACAGACTGGATAAAGAGGCTTACCTTGAAAATTGTAGGCATCCCACTCCACAATAGCACAAAAGAAATCACAAATGAAAAACTGAATATTTCGTGGCCACTGGCACCTTGTTCAACATTGAGAGTCACTAAGTCCTTCGTGGATAATCTTCCTTTACCAGTGCATGACTTCCAGAATCTAGTGACTCTCAATGTTAAAAAAGGGGCAAGTGGCTTTCCTTTGTTATTTCTTTTTGGTTGAAGTGGGATGCCTACAATTTTTAAGGTAAGCCTACTTACCTGTCTTTAGCCTTTGCTAGCCTGTCCTTTTTCACCTTAAATTTCAGGCAATTAGCCCTTTCCAATCAAACATATCTAATAACTTGTGTATGAATTAGTTTGATTTATCAGAAAGCAATTAGGGTGTAAAATTTTAGTACTAAAATTTCAATATCAAGTGCCTGTGTGCTGATATTTTTTTCTTACCTTATAGGTAAGAACTTTTTTTTATGGGTAGCCTCCGGATTATCGAGATACAATAAATTAAAGTGGTTTAAATACCTGTAATGTCGACAATCCAAGTGGTTGTGTAACAACTAGTTTCGGCTCACAATGGAGCCATCTTCAGGTTTTTCAAGGACATTATCACTTCTTCCGAAGGTCGTCAAAAGTTCACCAATAATTTACATTCATAAAAACATTTAAAAACACGTAACACGCATGCCTAGGCCTAGCTTTAACGACGTGTCTGGCAGGAGTATACGTCCAAACTTCACGCTGGTCACGTCGTTAAAGCTAGGGCTAGGCATACGTGTTACGTGTTTTTAAATGTTTTTATGTATGTCAATTATTTGTGAACTTTGACGACCTCAGAAGAAGTGATAATGTTCTTGAAAAACCTGAAGATGGCTCCATTGTGAACCGAAACTAGTTGTTACACAACCACTTGGATTGTCGACATTACAGGTATTTAAACCACTTTAATTAAGAACTTAACTTAATTTTTTTGTAGAATTATAACTAAATAGGCTAAACATTAAGCGTTAATTTTTAGTGACTAGCGTTTTACCGGGCTCAAAAACTTATACCGGGCCCGCTATTTCATGGGATTTATCGTAGTGTTTTATCTTACCGTTTAAGCCAGCAGTTAAGTGTAAACAATTAACATCAGTAACTTAAGTTGGAAGTGAATACTGAGTTTATTTTAAAGGTGTAATTAGATATTTTGCTTGGATAAAAAACTTTTGAAATTCACCCTAAATTATGATTTAATGTTATTAAAAGAAGTTCTATGTGTAACCCATAAAACCATGATCAGTTACAGTTCCTATAGCTGATAAGTTAAAATGTCCTCTATAACTACAAAAGCAATCACAAACAAGTATATTAAACGATCCTAACCTCTAAGCATTGGCAAATACAACACATCAGCTCCATTTAAAATTTTAGTGATACCGTAATTTTTACAGAGATGCAAAAACTCTAAATTCAGCGCTCTTACGTTTTAACATTGAGCGTTTGTGTTTAACAGGATTTTCACGAAGATACAAAAACTCTCTAATATCTAGTATATATGTCCATCATAATTAAACACTTTTTTGATTATTATTAATAGTAAACATACACTTGATGCTGACGATATCACATGCAACACACCTGCCATGTGACTGGTAGAGTCTTTTTTCCTTACAAGCACAGCATCCACCCGAGCACAGAACTGACGATCACTAGATGCACCGCAAAAGTCCAGCACATTGTTAATGTTGGCTTGATCCCTCTTGTAGCGTATAAATTTGTCTATCCTATCATTGATCTGGAAAACAGTCAACAAACATAACAGAATAAAACAATCAGAACGGATCTTGAGTAGAATTTTTTAGTGTGACAGATTGTATGTATAGTAGGCCTACTACAGCTATAATTTTGGAGATTTCTCCATTCTCGGTTGCTTAGTCATACACTAAACTAAATTAATGTTATATTTTTTATAGGGATGGACGAGATTGGATTTTTAGTTCAAGACGAGACGAGACGAGATTTTTTATTTCTCATAAAATTTCGAGACGAGATCGAGACGGGATTTCCCTTCTCATACACAACGGGAAATGCACGTTCAAAATTTTTACCAGATCTTGTAACATTGTTAGATGACTGTTTAAATACAAAAATAATGATAATAGGCAAGAATATTTACAATCTTTTATTAAAAAACATCAGCATAACATTTTTTTATTAATCACGCCTAACTTATTAAAAATGCCTCAATTAGGAAACATAGTGATATCAGTTAGGATAGAGTTCAACTTATCCTAAAATAAAATAAATCATAAAATAAAAGCAATATTAATAATTAAATTAATAAGAATTAATTAAATAAGAACGCCTTCGCAAAGGAAACGCAACTACAACACGCTCCTGTATTGCGGGTATTGCATTGACTTTCTGCAGGCGTTTTTTATTTTTTTTATTTTTTTTTTTATTCTCATCTCGATAAAAATCTCGGCCAAAAAGAAATCTTGTCTCGTGTAACGAGATTTAAAATTTCCAGGGCTGTGCGAATAGTTTGAAAAACGAATCGAATCCGAATCTTTTTAGAGATTCGATTCGGATTCGAGAACGAATCTACTGTTTCTAACTGGTTTCGGATTCGGAATCGATATTAGAATTTACTGGTAAGAGATCCGGGTTCGGATTCGATATTCGAATTTCTTGGAAATAGATCCGAGTTGGGATTCGATATTCAAATTTACTAGATTCTGATTGAATATAATTTTCAATATAATTTTTTAGACACTAAAAAACTACTTGTGCACTCCGATTTGCTGTTGACTGATTCATGTTAGGAACCTGACCAACTTGGTGTTAGATTTTAGGCACATTAGTGTAGGTCGCATTTGAACCCTATCTTGGCTATCAGTAAACTTAACCTCATAGTGTTAGTTGTTACTTGTAATAGTAATGCAGACATAGGCTTGTGTGGAGGATTAACACCAAGGTGTATAATAGGCTGGGCCTATGTTTTAGACTACACAAATTAGTAGTCCATCACTTTTAGCGAGTAACTGAGGCCTAGGCGGTATGCCTAACTTATGCCCAATTTTTTAGTTTCAAAACTTCAAATAGGTAGGCCTAAATTTTATAACTTTTTTATTTGGCCCATTTCAAAAATTTTTTAAGCAATTCCCTAAGTTATTTTAGCCCCAGAAAATGTGGTCTAAATATGTGAAAATTGGTACTGCTGACTTTCCTCGGATTTGGATTCGACTCTGAACAGGTTTAAATATTCGGATTCGATAACAGCTTTAAATTTCAGATTCGGATTCGATCCAGGTTCGATAATGGCTGTAAATTTGAGATTCGGATTCGACCCAGATTCGACTCGGGATTAATTAAAATATTCGGATTCGATCCGGATTCGATAAAATCAGTACAGCTATGATTCGGATTCGGATTCGAACCAAAATTTCTGGATTCGCACAGCCCTGAAAATTTCCCGAAATTTCGAGATTTGACCACCCCTAATTTTTTATTAGATTTCTTCATTTTCATTGTGTCAATGGTTAATAAATAATACATATACACCACAAGACATGACATAAAAACAGCTTGTGCACGGCTAAAAACGGGGTTGGTTGTCAGTTTTCAACATGGTTTAATTTTTTTGTGTCGTGTCTTGTGAAGTATATGTATTATTTATTAACCATTGACACAATGAAAGTAGGGTTCGCCCGGATCGGGCAGAAATGACGTGACAGGTAAATCACCTGTATATGTATGCTTTCCCGCCAGCCGTTCTAAGGCACTTTACGATGTTATAAATTTGCCGCACAGATAACAAATCAGATCAGATGTGCTCGCACTACAAACCATTATGACAAACTGACAATATGCTATATTATTTTATCAATACAAAATAGCTTATTCTTAGTCATATCCTGTGGAGATAAGCGTATGGTTCAGTTCTCATCGCGCAGCGTGGGAGCGAAAATGCCAAGATTCCTAGAAAGCGGCAGTTAAACCGAACTGCTCTCAAAGCAAGGTTGGTTAAAACAAACTGTATTATTTTACGGTCAAAGGCGGATAATCCGATTATCGGTTAATACGAGGTCGGTTAAGAGGGGGTCTACTGTATTTCCTAACAATTACTGATTCTATATATTACTGTACTGTTTGACTGCCTCCTGTTGTACGAACCATAATATTGTGTCTTTAGGACAATGATCTACAGAATTCTATGCGTCCAATATCGTCGTGATTTTCACCCACAATTATCTTTTCAGCCTGCATCCACCTACAATATGAAATCATAGTGGTCTACTTTATCACGTGAAGTAGTATTATTTTTAGTAATCATACATTTAGTAATGTGTATTTATAACTATGTTATTATGATAATTCTTGATTATTATCATCTCCTACAATCAGAGGATATCACCAATGAAGACATCATTGTTTACCACAATAGCGGTAAAATCATGGACATCTCCTGGGATTGCGGGTTTACGTCACTCGCTATCGTGGCGAAATCGCTAGCATTTAAAACAAGTCCAACTTTGAGAAAATCCTGAAAAAATTTCTCTGAATTTGGGGACCCGTCCACCCATTCTTAATTGTGTACTCCCCAATTCAAGATATCATCCTAATACACCCCCACAAACATGATGTAATCATACTTTAATACTACAATCATACCTTCTTCGTGCTTTACTCATGTCATGATATAATTGTGCTTTATTTTCACATTAAATCATGATATCACTCCTTTGTGAAGTTTTAACATGAATTGTTGACTACCGGTACTGCGTAAAAATCTTCCGCATTACAATAAAGGATTTTTAATGGATTTCTGTCTAAAAAAAAACTAGAACAAATTTTTTTTGTATACTTTCTCAGTTGTCTGGGTTTCAAGTTCATTGAATAAAGTAAACATTAAGGTTTCATTGTATTGTTGTAGACTTTGATACAAATTTGTTTGATCTGATTGCAGGAACTCGCTGAATCGGGAGACTTTGACCATACGCTAGTTGGTAGCAGGCCTGTAAAAATGGTATTTGGTAAGCTCATTGATTTTTTTATCAGAATACCTTTTGACAGCAAACTGTTCTAATATAGGACACAAGGGTTTGAGTGTTAAAGATTTTTGTTAGGATAGCAGACTTGCCTGAATTGATGGTAAGTCTGCACCTAGTTCAAGAAACACACAACTTGAAAGAATATATACCAAAATTAGAATATGTGACTTGGGTACGGTATTTGATTATTCAATGTAAAATATTGTAATGAATGTTCTAGGCCTGGATCCAAAGTATAAAGACAAAGGAGCAGTTGTGTCCAAGGTTTCTGCTTAAGCTCATGTAAAAGATGTAGTGATCAAAGATACCTACTCAACTTTTACTGTTCAAGTTGAATTTCACTTTACCGTAAGTTGAATTTAATATGTATAACACTTATTTATATAGTTATAGGTAGATACTTTTTATTTGATTGACTGGAATCTGACTGCTAACTTAATACACATTTTTATCAAGGGAAAATTAAACGTTCAATGGATTAAGATATAAAAAACTTATAGATTATTGATGAAATGTATTCTAGTACCTATTGTTTAATTTATTGTAGTTAAGAGTAATTTTGTTTTTATTTGTATTTTTCCCACATTTGCATTTGTATTATTTTATTATGTTTCATCAACAAATCATCTACCTTTAGACTATTATCGTCATGGTACCTTTAACTTTTCAAATTCTAACTTGCTATACAATTAAAATATCAATGGTTATTTTACCACTTATGAAACAAGCAATCAAATCAACAAGCTGTGAATAGGAAAACAGTAAAAGTTGAGTAGGTATCTTTGATCACTACATCTTTTACATGAGCATAAGCAGAAACCTTGGACACAACTGCTCCTTTGTCTTTATACTTTGGATCCAGGCCTAGAACATTCATTACAATATTTTACATTGAATAATCAAATACCGTACCCAAGTCACATATTCTAATTTTGGTATATATTCTTTCAAGTTGTGTGTTTCTTGAACTAGGTGCAGACTTACCATCAATTCAGGCAAGTCTGCTATCCTAACAAAAATCTTTAACACTCAAACCCTTGTGTCCTATATTAGAACAGTTTGCTGTCAAAAGGTATTCTGATAAAAAAATCAATGAGCTTACCAAATACAGTGACAGTAGTAGGTTTTGCTTTTTGATGCTCTTTTGTCCTAGTGTTATATGTTTTTCGAATGATAGACTGTTGTCATCATATAATGTAATGGAACATTTTTGCAGGCCTGCTACCAACTAGCGTATGATCAAAGTCTTTAATAGCCGATTCAGCGAGTTCCTGCAATCAGATCAAACAAATTTGTATCAAAGTCTACAACAATACAATGAAACCTTAATGTTTACTTTATTCAATGAACTTGAAACCCAGAAAACTGAGAAAGTATACAAAAATTTTTGTTCTAGTTTTTTTTTTACAGAAATCCATTAAAAATCCTTTATTGTAAATGCAGAAGATTTTTGCACAGTAGTCAACAATTCATGTTAAAACTCCACAAAGGAGTGATATCATGATTTAATGTGAAAATAAAGCACAATTATATCATGACTGGGGGAGTAAAGCATGAAGAAGGCATGATTGTAGTATTAAAGTATGATTACATCATGTTTGTGGGGGTATATTACGATGATATCTTGAATTGGGGAGTACACAATTAAGTATGGGTGGACGGGTCCCCAAATTCAGAGAAATTTTTTTCAGGATTTTCTCAAAGTTGGACTTGTTTTAAATGCTAGCGATTTCGCTACAACAGCGAGTGACGTCCCCGCAATCCCAGGAGATGTCCATGATTTTACCGCTATTGTGGTAAACAATGATGTCTTCATGGCGGAGTAAGACGTAAAAGATTTTGCTGTTATTGTAGGTGATGGTGATGGTTTGCGTTAGGCCAATGTGACCACGAACATGGGAGCTTACCAAATATAAAAACAGTGAGCAGCTTAGAAAACACATAATCCTTCAAATTGACTGTTTTTGCTGCAATATGACGAAGAAATATATGTATCGTGATTGGTATCATGCAAAACCAACAGTTTTCTTACCGTTTTTGTAGTAACTTGTTTGAATATAAACTGCATACAGTAAATATACATCAATCAAGTTCTGGTAATTTTACATATTGTCCCTAGGTGTTAGGTGTTACATATAGTCCCTATGTTTGAATATAAACTGCATACAGTAAACATACATCAATCAAGTACTGATAATTTTACATATCATCGTCCCTAGGTGTTAGCTCTTGTATACAAACGACCTTTTGAGCTTATCATGTTAGGAAAATGCAGGATTGTTAGGCATCAGGTTTGTTTTACATTGAGACACAATCCAAAGAGGATAAAACAGTACATCCTTACAATATACGAGGGTCGTCTCAAAAGTAAGTTACACATTTGTTTTAAATCACAGCGTCGAGCGATAGAAAGCTGGGAGTCGTGGGGAATTTTCGTCTGGATGTAGTGGCAACACTGTAAACGTCACGCCCGCCTACGGCACTCGCCCCTCCAGTATCGCTCTGGCCATCATGGAGACACCACTTGTTCCCACCGCCGATTGTGAAATCCGTGCAGTAATTAGATTTTTGACTGCAAAGAATAAAAATGTAAGCGAAATTCATCGAGAATTGTGCAGTGTTTATGGTGAAAATGTGATGTCTAAGCTAATGGTTTCCCACTGGCGTCAATCGTTTATTGATGGACGAAAATCGTTACACGATGAACAACGAAGTGGCCGCCCGTCCACTACACGCGCTTTGACTGTTGTTGAAGATGTCCGCAAGGTCATTGACACCGACCGGCGCTTGACATTGGATGAAATCATTACACAGCTTCCTCCAAATGTTGAAATTAGTCGTGCATCGCTTCACAGAATCATTTCGGACGATCTCAGTTTGTCAAAAGTCTGTGCAAGACGGGTGCCACGCCTTCTTTCAGAAAGGCATAAGGAGCAGAGGGTTGATGCTGCTCTCCAGTTCCAACAATTTTTTGATGATGAGGTAGATGGCCTATTCAACAGGATAGTAACCGGGGACAAGACTTGGGTGCACATTTGGACGCCCGAAAGCAAGCGGCAGAGCATGGTGTGGAAGGGAAAGGACGAGCCTACTCCAAAAAAGGCAAAAGTCGTCAAATCAGCTGGCAATGTCATGGCAACGATCTTTTGGGACTCTAAGGGAGTATTGTTGATTGATAACCTGCCAAGGGGGGAAACAATTACAGCTGAACGTTATTGTGAAGTGCTACGTAAGCTGGGAAGGGCGATACAGAACAAAAGGAGGGGAAAGTTGACCAAAACAGTGTTTTTGTTTCACTACAATGCTCGCCCACACACTGCCCGTAAAACACAAGACCTTCTGGAATCCTTCAGATGGGATGTTTTCAGCCATCCACCTTACTCTCCTGACTTGGCGCCGAGTGATTTTCATCTCTTCCCGGAGTTGAAGCGGCATTTAGGCGGGAAGCGCTTCGAAAACGAAGACATACTGAAACGGGAGGTGGAACAATGGCTAACCAAAATGGTGGCATAGTGGTACGATGTTGGACTAAAAAAACTGTTGCCACATTATCAAAAATACCTTGAAAAAAATGGTGACTACGTAGAAAAATAGTCTATGTATGTATCTTTTAAAATATACCCTTTTCAATCAAATTTGGCTTTTTTATTTATTTTGGAAATAGGTGTAACTTACTTTTTAGACAACCCTCGAACATAGTTTTTGTTTAATTCCCTGATACTGTTGATACAGTATTGTATGATTGTATGTACTATGTTTCCATTCCTCTGTGTATCTCCATTCCCCTTCCGTTCTACCCTTCAGTCTCAATCTAAGACCACACTCCAATTGCCACTTCCACACACACACACACAACTCCTCAACATGTGACCTGTGTATCTGTTGTGATTTCAATGTTAGCCATAAACAGATACCATCAGCTCCCACCCAAGCCAGATAAGGTGAACACCATCGGGTTAGCTCTACATTAATAAGCTTGATATACAAACATACAGGAATAAAACCAACACAAAACAATTTCAAAAGTTATCAAAACACTCTTGTCACCTCAGCAAACATACCAGCCAGATGTTACAGGTATAATGTAACGTATTGCTCCAACAAATCCCAGTTCATTCATAAATAAACCTATAAAACCAACATACACGTGATACCATTGACAAACTGATGTGTTTTAAATGAACAAAACTTGACAAATTGTGTCCTGATGAAGACTACCATTCACAGTTGAATTCGGTAGCCTTTACAGACTACAAGAATCAGGGCAGTAAAAGGTATTAAACCACTATTGTATTTTACCTCTTTAATTGAAGCATTTACTTGTATCAAATCTGGTGATACATCCATATCCATTGTCCCATCATTTTTTAGGTTATCCTGAGTCACTTTTGAATTTTCTGCAAAAAAAGTTATACTTTATACCATATTAATCTATACTTTTGTTCTTTTTAGCAAGCTATTATAAAGTAGTATTCACAGTAGTAGTTACAGAGTTCGAGTAATGAGCCAGCACTCGAAGAGGAAGGTAGTCCTGCCAGTCCGTCCCATGCCAGAGATAACAAACTGATAAGCACTGATTGTATGTTCAAACTGGTATGTAGTGGCTTCTTTATATTAACAAATAATCTGTTTTTAGACATTTTCAATTTAATAAATAGTGCTATATAAATATTTTTTTACAATGAGTGAAAGGTGCAAATCTTGTCAAAAGTCTATAACTAATCGCCAAGTAAAGATTCAGTGTACAGACTGCTCGTCGTTTTTTCATGGTACCTGTGTGAAAGTAACTAAGGAAGATGCTGAATATATGGAAAACGAAGGACAAGTGTGGAGGTGTGAGAGATGTAGCAAGGAGAGAAGGAAGAGTATGCAAGTCCAATCCCAGCTAGGTAAAGAACAACCTAATATAAGCGATGTAATAAACCTGTTGAATGAAATGAGGCAAGAAAATAAAGATCAGATTAAAAAACTTGAAACAGATCTTGGGACCTCGGTGGAACATTGTCACCAAACAGTTGAGGAACTTAAAGTTACTGTTTTGGCACAATCAGAATCTTTGAAAAAGTATGAGATGCTGTGTGATGTACTACTAAAAGAAAACAAGGAATTGCATTTGAGATTAAGGGAATTGGAAATTTGGCAAGATGAGGCAGACCTGTATTCACGTATAAACTGTGTGGAGATCAACGGGATTCCTGAGAGGGAGACAGAAGATGTGATACAATTAGTAAAAAGTGTTGGTATCAGCTTAGGCATGACATTGTCTGAAGAGTCCATTGACGCGTGTCATAGGCTGGGAACCAAGCGAACTAACGAATCTAGACCCCGAAGCATTATAGTCAAATTCACCCGAAGATTCATTAAAGAAGAAATACTGAAAAAAAGAAGAATTAAACGCAACCTGAACACTAAAGACATTGGATTTAGAAATCAATTAGCCGAGATTGTGTATATCAACGAAGTCTTGACCAAGAAAAGAAGGGAACTGTACAAGGAAGTCCGGGACCTCAAAAAGGAGAGGAACTTTAGTTACTTGTGGGTGAGAAACGGAAAGATCCTGGTTCGGCCAACAGAAAAAGGGAAAGTAATACCAATAACCACCACAGAAGACCTGGAAAAGCTGAGAGAACTTCCAGTAACTCCTCCAACAACAACGGAAACAGACCCTGCACAGGTGACGGAGACGGAGCCTTCACAGACCGCTGCACAGTCTTCGGACCCTGCACAGACCACAGTCTCTATACAAACTACAGACCCTGCACAGACCACAGACTCTACTCAGACTACGGACCCTGCACAGACTACAGACTCTGCACAGCCTGAGAAAATGGACACTGCACAAAATGGTTAGACTAGTTCATATCTATTTCATAGAAGAGTTTGCTTTTTGTTTTTCAGTTTTTAAGTTCTTTAAGTACTTACTGTAAAATACTAATGTTTGCATTGATAATTAATAATTGTAAATGAATCACAATTTGTTGAAAGATAAAATTAATAATTTAGTAATAATACAACAAAATATCCGTAGCCTTAGACAAAACTTTGATTCATTTGTAACTGAGTTGTATTCTTTGGGTAGGACCCCTGATATAATAATATTAACCGAGATTTGGATTGAACAAAGTGAAGTAAATTCTTATTCATTGCCTAATTATTGTATTTTTGTAAAATGTAATTCTAACTATAGAGCAGGTGGAGTAATCGTTTTTGTGTCTGACAAAATGAGTTCTTATCAGATAAACATTCCAAACATGATAACTGCTGATTATATCCACCTCAAAATAACTTTAGCAAATAATAATAATCTTGATCTTTTAGCAATATATAGACTTCACGAATTCTCAATAAATAATTTTGTAGACGAACTGGAAATAGTACTGTCACGAATAAAAACACCGAATCTAATGATTAATGGTGATATAAATATTAATATTCTTGAAAAATCTAGTGCAATTGATAAATATCTTATAAAAATGGCAAGTCATGGACTAAAATCACTGATAAATCAGCCCACTAGAGTCACCAAATTTTCACAGACTTGTATAGATCATGTTTTTTGTAGAATTAAGTTAAACTGTAAGTTTAAGTGTACAGCTGAAGTTATTAAAACTTGCATTACTGATCACTGGACAACCTTAAGTCATGTTGAATGGAGTCCTGATAAAGTGTTTACACAAAGGAACGAAAGCAATGAGAATCAATTGAGGAAACTTGACTTAAACTCTCTTAAAGTGTTTGTAAACGAAATGGACTGGAGTAAAGTGTTTACTACATGCTCAGCCTCAATTGCTTTTGATCATTTCATTGACAAACTACACTCCTGCATTAATAAATCATATAAAATTGTCAAAGTTAAGTGTAAGTTTAAATCCCCGTGGATGAACGTTACAATAAAAAATAGTATTGACCAAAAAAACAAAAGTTATAGGGAACATATAAAAAATCCTAATGACACTATAAAAGAACATATGTACAAAAGTCAAAAGAATGCCTTGATAAATCATATTAGATACGTAAAACAACGCTACTACTCAAACCTATTTGAAACCAACAAAAACAATAGTAAAACACAATGGAAATTTATAAAAGAATTAACAGGAAATAGAGAAATTAATAAATCTAACATAGTCTTGAAAGATAATAATGATAAAATGATTAGCTCTCCAGCCAATGTATCAAACATGCTTAATGATTTCTTCTGTTCAGTGGCCAAGAATTTAAGAGAAGAAATTGATAGTGATAAAGATTGTTTTCATAATGAATTTAATGTGCTCAAAGATAAATTCCAAAGTTTCGCATGCAATGACTCAATTTTCTTTTACCCAACATACGAGGAAGAAATACTAACGATAATAAAGAATCTGAAAAATAACAAATCCCCAGGATATGACAACGTAACACCCATTGTAATAAAAGAAATATCTAACTCCATTGTAAACATACTAGTATATATTTTTAATTTAAGTTTATCAAGTGGTGAATTCCCATCAAAATTGAAACAAGCTGTAATAATACCATTATTCAAGAAAAATGACAAACATGACCCAAACAATTATAGACCAATAGCTCTTTTATCTATTTTTTCAAAAATTCTAGAAAAGATTGTTAAGGTGCGATTGGTTAACTTTCTAAATAAGCATAGATTTTTTAGCAAAAATCAATTTGGCTTTCAAAGTAAATTAAATACAAGCTCTGCTCTAATAAACTTTATGTCTGAAGTATACACAACCATTAATGATGGTAAACTTTGTGCCGGTATTTTTGTAGACGTAATGAAAGCATTTGACACAGTAGACCACGGCATATTATTGTGTAGGATGTACAATGCAGGAATTCGTGGAGTTCCACTGGCGTGGTTTCGATCATATTTAGAGGGTAGAAGGCAAGTCACAAAAGTAAACAATACAGTGAGTGAAGAGGGTAAAATTGAGTTTGGTATACCCCAAGGGTCAGTGTTGTCTGGTCCACTTTTCCTAATATATGTCAATGACTTGTGTAATGGCAATTTTAAAGGCAAGTTGGTGGCTTTTGCTGATGATACTGCATTATCCTATGAGGCGAATTCCATTCAAGACCTCAAGGATCAAATGCAACATGACATTAATATGCTTAGATATTGGTTTTCAAGTAACCTTATGGTTATGAGCCCGAAAACAAAGTATATTATTTTTAATATGACTAAACAATTGTCCTTTTGTACCGGCCTAAAATATCATGAAGTAACTTGCTCCCTTGCCCAAAATCTTTGCACATGTCCAAATCTAGAGCAAGTGGATAGTATAAAATATCTAGGGATATGGCTTGACAGCAAACTTAGCTGGAAAGAGCACATAAATTACTTAAAAACAAAATTAGTCAAGTACATACGAATATTTTATATGCTTAGGTCCGTTTGCTATACTCAATTGATGAGAACAATTTATTTCGCATTTATAAACTCTAAAATAGATTATGGAATAGAAATATGGGGTGGAACATATTTTACCAGCCTAAAACCAATCATTACTTTACAAAAATCTTTCATCAGGATAATGCTAAATAAAACCAAAACTGAACCTTCATTCCCACTTTTCAAAATTATTGAAATATCACCTATCAGGAATCTATATGTTTACAAAGTTCTGAAAATATATTTCAATAGATGTGGCACTGATAGAACAAATCCAAGACATACTAGACTAAGAAGTAAAAACAACGTCTATGTACCCAAACCTAGACTAACAATATTTAAAAAATTCTTCTTATATTTGGCTCCCACATTTTATAACCTTCTTCCCGAGCCCATCAAAGCAAGTGAAAACGTCAATGTATTCAGCAAATTAACACGAAACTACTTGCTCGAAATAGATAGTATAAACACATTTTTTACCTCATTGGTCTAACAATACATCATAGTTATTTTTAATAATCTTGCACTTATTAAGTCAGGGATGCTCGATATGTCCAAATAAGCTGTAAGTTCAGGACACTCCAAAATAGTACTGTAATCACGAAGATTGACAGTATAGGGTCAGTTTTCAAATAGATAGGTAGACAAGGTTTTGTTGTGATAGGTTGCTGTGTTAAAGCTATTGTTTGAAGCCTAGTTTTATATATTGTTTTAATTTTGTAATAAAAATAGTGTGGTAATGGTGACGGGCTGGACTTTCCAACCACGAGTTACTCCAACTACCAAAAATGTTTGTTTCCCGCACAGGTTCTGTAACCTCAGGGCTTTATTGTTCGTTATTTAATAAAATAATTAGTTAGATTTATGTTGTGAAGAGTATTGTGTTTTTAGTTTATATTCGAATAAATACAATAAACATGTAATACTAATACAATACTTATGTACAACTTAAGTGTATAAATATGTATTGTATTTTACCTGTTGTATTTGAAATGAACAATAAAGAATTTTTCAATTCATTCAATTCAAAATTCAGAAGCAACATTGATACACGGAATGAACCGGCATGTGGTCGGCCTATTGTCTTTTAAATGTTTTTAATTTATGTTTTTTATAATTGTGAACTTTATGTGTCAAATTGTATTTATGTGTTGATGAAGACTTCTGTCGTTTTTATGACCAGCTTCAATTGATGTTTACAAGGATTTGATAATGGTTCTTTGACCCGAAATTAGTCATCCCTAGACTAACTTTAGACTGAAAACGGACTAAGGTACTTATATATACAAAAATCAGTCTTGTTGGCAAAGATGTAAAAAATATACGTTTTCAATTATAGCACCGGTGCATGGATATTATGTAAGATTTTTTAATAATAACCAGAGTCCTAGGCACTGTTTGTACCTTCACAAACTGTTTGTTTTTTGAACAAAAACTACTGCTGGTTGTTTGAACAAAAAACTTCATCGTTGATAGCTTGCCAAAGTCTGAAGAACGTTCACTAACAGTCGACATCAGGAAAACCAAACATCGTAAACATTTTGAGTGAAATGCAACTTTGCCCTTAGGAGGAAAGTTGGAAAAATAGGTATAATAGTCAATTGAAATGTGTGTTTTTCACCCATGATCTGTGAAATTTGAAATTGCCACCAATTATTACTGGTACTGGGTAACATTTTTTTCTGATTCAGACATACAGCCCTGTAACATCTCAGTTATTGACAATATTTAGGAAATCTAAAAATTACAATAAATACGTTAAATGAATCCCAACTGTTAGAAAAATTGTACAACAAATGTATTGTACCTGGAACTGAGGAGGTCAAGCACACAGCCATTGCTTCAACCATGAAGCTGACAGTTTCCGCAGGAACACTGGGGTCTGGACTGGTTACACAAATCATCAGTTCTCCGTGGTTTCTGTAAAGAAAATCACTGTTAGATTTCACGCTAGTCCCCCAGAGTAGGGTTTGCCACATCCTTTCTGATAGCCTATTTTCCAGTTGATCAATGATTGGAATTTAAAAGCTATGTTGTTTTGAAGAGATCTACAACATTTATCTGTCAAGTTTTTTTTTTAATAAGCTACTATCATCTCAAAATTCACAACACAGCCTAAAATCTAATTCTTGAAACAATTGACAATTGTTTCCTGGACTTTATATATTGCAATGAGATTCACGTTTTTGTGAAATGACTCTCAAAACTTTGTAAGTAATAGTGAAAAACATGTCCATAGTTATTTAGTCAATAATATGGTTTAAAGTGTGTGAAACCATATTAATGACTAACATTATATTATTAAATAATGTTTAGTCTAATAGGCCTATTTATTTATACTAGTGTACATGCTGCTCGAAATCGAGCAATTGCAAATAAGTAAAGTAGCATTTTCCCATTTTTTACCCTAAAAACACAAAAATTCTTAATTTCTCTCCAAACCATTTTGTAGAGCTTAAAAAAATAAATAATTTTGTATATTGAAGCGGTGTTGTATGCCCAACGGTTATGGAGATAATTTAAAAAATTCTAAATTTATTATTCCCATGTTATTCTTATGGAGAATAAATAAACTGTTTCATTTTGCTTGTTTTTAGATATATTTGAGCCAAATTTGGAAAATGTGTTTATTTCATACTAAGCTATTGACATTGCAATATAAAACACGCCTCGATATCTTCCCTGTAGCAGCAAACTCACTAAAATTAATGTTATTTAAGTAGGAAATAAATCTGACAATTTTTAGGGAATATTTTAGTAGAAATCCCGCCAGGTAAATGGAAATTTGCTTAGTCTGCAGGTTTGCTGTGGTGGGGGTATTTTACATTGTAATATGTACAAATGTAAATTAAAATAGTAAATATTTCATTTCAACAAAATCAAGAAATGTACACAATGTGTTTCATTGAATTGAAAACTAAATACCTGTAACAGTAATTATATAAGCTGATCAAAATGTAAACAATTATGTTCTTCATAAGGATAACATGGGAACTATAACAGCCACTGGGGCAGAGCCCAAGGGACTTAAAAAAAGTAAGGTCAGTTTGCAAATCTACGCTACCCTCTCTTTCCAATGAGACGCCAATGGATAAAATCGGCTAAGAAATGGCGGAGGAGTTCAACCGACAAAGATTCATGTAGCGTATTAATTATATAGATTTAGTTAGTAATATTAATAAATATTTACTAAGGCTGCATTTATTAAACTACAATAAATAAAAATATAAAAATTGTATAAAATATTTATAAATCTTGTTTCTAATATATAATGATGAAGTAGCCTACATACAATTCTTACAAACCATGCAAATGCATTACTCATTATTTTTAATTGAATTGCTATCAGACCATCATTTGATAAGCCACTAAATAAAATATGATTATTCATAGAAGACTTAACAATGGAGGTAAGTTTATTGCATATAATTTTCACAACATACATCAAAATAGTTGGAATAATTAATTCACAATTTAATATATCATTTGGGTACTTTAATATTAACTAGAACACTAAACCAAACTCTAACCTATGACTATTACTAGAACTAAACATTTTTCATCTTCATTTTAAAATTGTGACCAGATTTTAAAATCCAAATGACATAGTTGAAGAGAGCTACCAACAGATTGCTAAGATTTAAATTACTGATTTCTATTGCATGTGTACACTCCTTAAACAATAGTTATTTGTGTAACTAGTGCGCGAAGTGGTACTTTGCTGCACACGAGAGATATATTTACGCACGAGCCGTAGAAGACGAGTGTAGAAAGTTTTTCAAGTGCAGCAAAGACAAAACTATAATAACATAATTTTTTTACAGTGCCTAGATATTATAGTCGCTCTACCACTTCACAAACACATAAACAGTGACTGAATTGTAACTGTTTATGTTATATTATATGTAAGTTTTTTTTTCAAAATTATTACCATTACACCATAAAAAATGTAATTTATTTCTCGTTGCAGTGGTACCAAGAAGAAAGAAAATATCCCTTGTTGTAATTTTTTTTAACACACTATGTTTGGCAGTTTAAAGTTATAATAAAATGAAAGTTTGGAATCTTATCTTTCAATTGTTGTACAAATTGAATTTTACAATCGTTTTCAACCATTTATTGGGAGTTTTAAAAATCCATACAAAACGCGACTATTATAGTTGCTGCAACTACAGACACGAACTACCGTGACTATTATAGTTGCTGCCACTACAGACATGAACTACTGTGACTATTATAGTTGCTGCCACTACAGACACGAACTACTGTGACTATTATAGTTGCTGCCACTACAGACACGAACCACTGTGACTATTATAGTTGCTGTCACTACAGACACGAACTACTGTGACAATTATAGATGCTGCCACTACAGACACGAACTACTGTGACTATTATAGATGCTGCCACTACAGACACGAACTACTGTGACTATTATAGATGCTGCCACTACAGACACGAACTACTGTGACTATTATAGTTGCTGCCACTACAGACACAAACTACTGTGACTATTATAGTTGCTGCCACTACAGACACGAACTACCGTGACTATTATAGATGCACTGCCACTTGAAGGGTTACAGTTTATATTCCCCCTTTCAAGATTGCATTTCACTGCCCACACCTGGGGCTTGTGTGTGGAACCTATCCGGGAAAGTAGGGGGTGAGCCAATATTTTTCTCACTAAAGAAGATTCATTAGCTAGCCTATAATGGTGATTTAATCAAACTGTCTAAAGGTTGATTTGGCTTTTGGTTTAAGCGTTTGGTTTTGAAACAGGTAAATATCAACCTGTCGATATCGTATATTTTCTCAAATCATTAATTGTTAACCTTATTTTATAATTATCTAATAATATATTAAGTACTATTATTACGGTATATTACTATAATTTTTATCATACTGGGAGCGTTTATGATTTTAAGCTTGAAATTCAGTTCACTTTAGTAAATATTCTACTTAACTAATGATCACTTACACAGCAATTATGCCAAGATTGCGGACATTCCATACTTCACGAACCTTTTTACAAACATACTGACACACTGTACTAATACTGTTGCTTTTTTCCGAGTTTTCCTGAAACATATTAAAACAAACAACAATATCAGCAGTCTGAAATCTATTTTCTTCCATTCAACAATCCTTATCATGCATGAGTAGGCCTAAGCGTCGGGAGTACTATAATATTTTATGGGGAAAATCACAAAATTTGCAATAACTTTTGAACAGCAATGGTCATTTGTACAGCAATGGAGGTTGCGCAATTTTGTTAAGAGTTATAAGACCTAAAACATACTAAATTTTAATCAAAATAGTTTGAGCCATTTATGTGAAATTCCAAATTAATTGTGAAATAATTTTGTTATTTTATTGGTCTACATGAAAATTCACAAGTAGACCAATGTTTGTTAATGTTTGATAATACACTAATTCTCAACCTGCTTGGTATTTATTTAGAGTTAGGATAGATGCATGTTGAATAATAATGTTCAAAAAAGTATTTATGAGAGTTTTAACTGTAACTTTAATGGCACTATTGAGTGATTAGAGAGTATATATATTTGTTTGCATCCCATTCTAAGGTATTTACTATGTATTTTGCCTTATTTTCTGCATATGCTACAAATTTTCTGTGGTTTTTCAGTACTCTCTCATTGACTGACTAAAATATGATTCATAAATTTATTACTCTGAAGTCTATCTACAATATTAACAATTCCATTTAAAACTCAACACAACTCAAAGTTCCTCAAAGCCAGTACAGTTGCTTAGGTTATCCTTTTCGTAGCAGACCAGGACCAGCTTGACTCTAGATCCCTGTGTCCTGTTCAAGATTTACTAAGCCGTTCGGTCGTTGACAATTGACCAAGTCATTAAAATTGAGTGACTTGATTAGTGTTTTGATGTGCCTAGGCGCTAAAAGTATTCACACGCCCCACGTTGAAAATTTCCTAAACACTCGGCTCTCATAGTCCTCCACTGCTCCTGTCCAAAGCTCCCCTCGGCTCTTTTTTTTTTTTTTTTTTTTTTATAGAGGGCCAGGCTTACAAGTTACCATGGGATTGCATCGCAGCTAGAACAGCTTATTGTGCACTCTTGTTCACAGGTCCTCATTCTCCGTCACATCCCAGGTCCTTGGTGAACCGTGAGAGCCTTTTGACTATGGTAACCTGTTCTTCCCTTTGATCTCCCATCAATAGGCCAAGGGATCTCATACGCAGACCTTGTAGGGCTGGGCACATAAATATACCTTCACAGTTTTCACAAGGTCTCTGGCCGGGGCAAGCAGTAGCGAGATTTCCCTGAAAGGACTCAGCTCCTGAACTTGCTTGACCAGCCAATCCTTTGTAGCCTCCACCTTTCTTCCTGGAGGCTTCATTGGAGTCAGCTTTGGGGGTACCACCCTTGCCCCAAGATGCGTGGAGTAAAAGAGGTGGGCCAGACAGAGCGCACCCCACTTCCCCCCTCGCCTATCGGCCCGAGGCAGTGACGTCACTGCAGTCCTCGAGCCGCTACTCACAGTCGGCACATACCACTTTAGATGCTGTTTATGTATTGTTTATGCCACTTTGTACCACGCTATTGTTAAAATTGAGTCAGCTTGGATACCATTATTTTTTTATTTGATCACTCCTAAAATATTATAATTATCTATGATTAAAATTATTGTTTATTTCTGCATTTGTTTGTGTTTCTTTTAACACAACAAATAGATTTACTCAATTTATGTAAATAGCATACAATTTTATAATGTATATATTTTGAAGAGACCTAAGTACAGTTCTTTAAGACTATTATATTAGTAAATAAATTATATACCCTTTAGATTTAAAACCATTGAACTTATAAAACAAACAAACATTTTTTGTTATACAAATGTATCAAATCCAAGTAGCTTTTGGCAATGCACATTCATTAAATCATGTGCCATTCGTGTAATTTATTAAATATGACATTCATTAAATTAATGTCATTGGAATAGAACTTTATAATTCGTGAATGGAAATAAAAACATGTTTAATAAAACATACACTTTATTTACAAGGTAATATATCACTCAACATTTGACATGTACATATTCATAAATACATGACGATATTATAGTTCCTGATATTTACAATTTTTCTACTGACATACCTTATTCAGTTTTTTCTTTCTCTTTTCTTTGTCATTCGTTATTTTTTGTCTGTTTAAAAACTTTATTCGCATTATTATTCTTCTTCGTACAAATAGTTCGATAATATCTAGAGGGAAACAGTCAACTTTGTCACTTAATTTCTTCACGAGGCGTTTCTTCACATTAGGGCCTTTTAAAATCTTCAATTTACAACTTTTTTGGAATTCCTCTTCTAAAACCTCAACTTTCTCCATAAAATCCACTGTTGGTTCTGTTAAACCCCCTAGGGATATCTCACCAATCCAGGTTGACGTTTTTTCGCACTGGTAGGTAAAATTTCCAAGATTAGGATACTTATTTCTGAACTTTTTGGCTATCCATCCTGCAATATAGTTAAGTCCATCTTTCGATACGCACTCTTCCAAACTATCATTTAACAACTCAACTGATTCCTTCTCATCCACATCACTTTTTTCATTCTCTTCGGAGTCAAAGGGCACCTTTATCTCTTCGTCAATGCTGCATGATACAGAGCTTTCTCTTAAAACTTTCCCAATTATGAATTCATCTGACGTGTTCTCAGTATTCACATTGCTCCTAACCGTACCCGTGTTCTTCCCTAACACAATCATGCGAATTCTATACAAACATTCTATAGGAGTAGGGTGATCATTCATTCCCCCACCCCCTCTTATTAAGGAAAAAAGATTTTCCAAACTATCTTGATTTAGCTTCGATGTTAAAATATACGTTATTTTATCATTACATTTCAAGTCGTCATACATTTCAATTACTGACCTAGTAGACATGAGTATACCTTTTTGAAACAATTGAATTTTCGTTTTATTCATACACTTCATGTTCTCTATGGTTTCTATATAGTTTTCCAATACAGTTCTTTGTTCTTCTAATTTCATACCATAACCACATTTAAGATTGACACTAGACAAGGGAATCCTGCTATTCATTACGTCAAACCAGTCATTAGTTTCCTGTATGAAATCTGCAGTTGCTTGTCGTTCATTCTCATCTCCTACGTCATATCGTCGAAGTGCACAGGCTGTTGTATGAGACATAAGTTGAGCAGCCAATAGTACATTTTGCCTCTCAAATTTTTCGCATGTCACGTGTTTTGGTGATAATTTGTAGCACGACGAAATCTCGGTGTCTTTAACTCTTGATATCAATTCCTTCAAAGGCCTTGGTGAGACAATGGAGCCATCTCGCAATGTGAATCCACCGTCTATGAGCCAATTTCTAACAAGTTTTAAAAGGTGGGGGACGTCTGCTAGGAAATATACCTTTTTTCCTATAGTGTTAGAATAAAACCAGCTTTTATTGAGTGTCAGTTCAAATGCACTCCACATACCAACATTTCCACCTCCGCAGTCGGATACGATTGCTCTTACAGTGTATCCTATTTCAGAAAGCTTTGTAATAATCTCTTCAATAAGTGATTTTGTCATTGAAAAATCAAAATCTACGAAAATCGGCTGTTTCCACGACGAAAAAAGTCCTCTTGCCATTACTACTTGCATCTGTGAATGTGGTCCTATAACTCTATCAATAATCGGGTCGTACTCATACAGTGATTTTACTTTCATCTCGTCATACTGTAGAACTACAATTTTCTCCAGAGTTGTCATTTGCTGTGCAGCAACTCTCATAAGGCTTAGAACCCCTTGGAGTATTCCCCGTTTAAGATGCAATTTTGATGCCCAATTTTTTAATGTGCTTAAACAGGGGAGAGGAATTTTCATTTGAGTTCTCATATAAATGTAGCATTGCTTACTATAGTATCTAATGGTAAAAGCTTTCGTAATGTCCTCATTAGACCACACTTTAACTTTTTTGTTCCGATTAAATAAAATATTAATTTGGGTATCAGAAAAGGTTCCCTTAAGAATGTTCTTAATTTCCTCTTTAACGCTAGAACTTTTTTCATCGACCAGACGAGCATTTTCATGCCTTAAAGCTGATATTGTTGATTCATATTCTTCTTTCATCTTTTCCAACTCATTACTTAATTTCTTATACTCTTCTTCGTAATTAATAGTCGATGGTATCAAAGCAGTCTTAGGATCTGTAGTTGTAGGGTTGTCATTTACATTTATATCATCTTCTTTTGACAACGCAGCTTGCACAAACTGTTTGTTTGCCCGCGATACTTGTCTTAATTTCCGTTTTTTAGAACATTCCGTTTCACTTTTGATACTGTTTTCAGAAGGTAAGAGGTTTATGGAGGGCACAGCCCCAGACTTGAGAATTTTTTTTACATTACCCAAACCCAATAGTTCTGATTTTAAATCCCTTTCAAAGTCTTCATGTTTAAAATGTTCTGAACAAATATAAGAAGTATCAGGATTCCAAGAATCCTTTCTTTTACAACGTTCAACCCAGACAGAGCGTATATTATCATTCTTAGGAAATCTAAAATATGACACTATATCGGATCGAGTCTTAGTTTTAAAATAACTGTTTTTGCATATAGCTACAGCACAACGCATACCTGGCATTTTTCATCTCCGTCTTCAGACAGTAAATTATTATAAACACAATAAGGAACAAACACGCACTTATATAAAATGAAAATCTTCTTAACACTAAAATACAAACTTTAAAATGAAAAATATATACATATATATATGACGTGACTAATTTTACTTAAAAATCGATTGAAATTCAACCAACGTTAGTTCAACTGAATTTAAATACAATTTCTTGAATCACTTGCACAAACTACTGTACTGTTCGATGTTTGCTAATGCACTGAATGCTTGACTACAAATGGTTATTTTGCGTATTTTTCGTAGACACAAGACATTCGTGTTACAACGTGAAATACCCCCTCCATATCAGTGTTGGTTGTGTCAAAATAGATCAAGTTTGCGCGTTTTAACATGTTTCTAGCGGTGAGCCGGCCGCCGCCGGGACTGCAGTGACGTCATCGCGCGCAGTCCGCTCTGTCTGGCCCACCTCTTTTACTCCACGCATCTTGCCCTTGCCCTGCTTTTTCCCAGCATACTAGTTCCAGGAGGAACTGGCTTTGCAGGAAGCAGAGTTAGGGTACTTGGCAGCCCACACCAGCCTCCTCTCACTTCTGGATAGCACCTTTTCCTTTCCGGTTTCTGCGAGCTTGTCGTCATTGTCAGATTTCAGTAGACCTTCCTCCTCCATTTGGGTCAGATTGTCTACATTGTTCTCTTGAATACCGGATATCTAAGTCCACCTCCCCAGTGACCCGATTAGAGAGGTAAGGTGTGCGTACGACTGGGTTACCCCTGGTTCCCAGAAGGCTCCGTTAAGACACTGAATATTAGGCCCCCAGTGCCACAAGACTCTTGGCACGGATCGCATTACACCTTAGTCTAGGGCTCCCCTCACTTGGTTCTGTAGATGGACCAACACCCAGTGGCAGAAGGTAGCTGTCCGCAGCTAACTAACAAGTGAGAGTTGGGGTTTAGGTTGTGGCCAATCTGCCGAACCAACCCCGCATGCGAGGTTTGGCCGGAACGGCGCAAAATTTTCTCCCACTCACTAAACCCCCATACCTTCCCCCTCGGCTCTTGGGTGTCCCCTAAACAGCAGCTTCTCCAACCTCTCCATCTACCAAATCTCTCTGGACATAGACTGTCTCTCTGTATCAGACAGCTCTCTTAGCTATGGTAAGAGCCCCTACATCCCCTCTCGGAGGATTCATGGCCCCAGAAGGCAGTTAATTCGGCCACCGGGGACTTCAGGGATTCGGCCCCAGTAATATGGATAAGTTACTGTACTGGGGCTCTGAGAAGTAACTCCCCCCCCCCCAGCCATCAGCAATGAAGCAACTGCTCCACTTGCTCTACCATTGCTACGCTAATGCATATGCACATTGCACATGCCAACCGACGACTAAAGGAAGAAGCTTCTTGAGTGCTGGGGTTTTTGCATACGCCCCATTTCAATGACAAGAAATAATCAGCAGCTGGACATTTCGCCAATGGCTACGAGTAGACATCAGCCACACGCTTAAGCCAAAACATGGTGTAATAGGCCTATTTAAGTGTAGCTGTTTTTTCTTACGTTATTGACCAAATCTTATTGTTTTACTTATTATAATTTAGTTAACGTAGTAAAAGAGTTGCTGCACCACAATGTATTCCTTTAAATTGTTTGTAAGCTGTAGCTTAGTTAAAATGTTATTTTTTTCATTTAGGCTCTAAAATCATCACTTCATAAGAAAATATATTTATAACTTATATTTGAGGTCATTAATAGTAGTTTACACAACGATTGCGTAAAGATAATGTTTACGACACGAGTAGAAAAATTAAAATATGAGCCTTGGTGAGTTGGTAAGCCAGTTACTCAATGCCATTACTACTCACTACCCATCACTACTCATGCAATGCTGTTCAGGCCAATTTAATTGTTGAGTGGTCCTATTACTTAGTATTTGGTACAATGTTTAATTGCATCACTGTCGGTGGCTATTAGAGGTTATAAACTAAAACATAACCTCTATTAGAAGTTATGAGTAGGCCTACCGGTAGCGATTTTTTGTAATTAAAACACTGTCGCAGCCTCGTAGGTAAAGTAGTGTGCAAAAATTGCGTAGATAGTGTTAACGACACTAGTAGAAGTTTTTAAGGCCCTCGCCAAGGCTTGTTCACCTTAGATTTTCTGCTGTACTCGTGTCGTCAACACTATATTTACACAATCGTTGCCCAAACTACTATAAGCATGCTTTGACTACAAGTAAAGGGGGATCCACTTCCATATCTGTTGGCACAAACAACCGAATGAAAATTAACCTAACCTAACTAACCAAACGATATATCGAATTAAACAATTGAATAATCTATATTACTCATTCGGTTGTTTGTGCCAACAAATATGGAAGTGTACCTAACCGCAAAGGGCTTATTTCAAATTCAGTCTCAACAAATAGTAGCCTATCAAAGTTAGGCCTAGATAAAAAGGCGTGTTTTGCCTTTTGTTTACAGGGGTGATGAAGTCTTCATCTTAAACAAAGTAGACAAATATAGAGGTATATCACAGGGGTGATAGCGATAAAAAAAGAACAAGGCCTAGGCTAAACTATGCCAGGTTCACACAAGTCGCTAACCTTACCTTAATTAATTCAACATCACAGAGTTTTCCACTGTAAAAGGAAAAAGAGTCATTGCTTTCTTGTAACAGAAATCTGACAAGCTCTAGCATCGTCATCGATGCAGAGAGATTAATAAAATCCATTTTTACTTCCAATATTTTGTAGCAATATTATTACGTTCAAACTCTTCAACCTAAAAAAAAATCAACAAATAGGCTAGGCCTACAAAAATAACAATAAAAGCAAATTAGCAAAAGGTACCTTCTGCGCTTCTGCTCTTAATGTTCTTCTGCTAGAATTATTCTTCTTCTTCTTTTTTAGTTGAATGAAAAGCTGGCTTGGTTTAACTAACCATGAAGCGACACTACTTCATCAGTACAATTTTAAACTATAATATATTGATTCATTCATTCAAAAGCCTCCCACAGGAACTATCATGCTTATACCATAGATAAAACTACCTATACCTTTAACACCTACTTCCCTGCCTTGTGGTAATACCGTGTGTCTCAAAAGTCCCTACCCCTGATATTTTTTTATTAATAAAGGTGAAATGTTAATACTAAGGGAATGTTTATATGATAAAAAAATAAGTTTTTGGTGTATGCAAATTTTCACCCCCTTCCCCTCAAACTGGGTAACTAAAGTTGAAATTTGCAAACTTTGAACTGCCACAGCTTTTGATAGGATTGACTAATTTGCGCCATTCATTTTAGCGAATTTTCCATATAGGGAATAAGCTATTACCGTAGTACTCACGGTAAGACCTGGACCCGGGACCGATTTTTTTTTCGTTTTGAGGTCCCTAGAGGTCAAAAACACCATCCGTTCAAATTCATATATATATTATATATATATATTATATATATATATTATATATATATATATACAGGGTGGTAAAAAAGTTCCTGGACAGTTAAATATTTTAAAAAAATAATGCAGATAGAGGTACAATACTTGGTACAAAGTTACAGGGCATAAAACTCTATTATAACACATATTCAGTGATCCAATAACTCTTCAGGGGGACGGCCCACAAGGAGTCAGAAGAAAATCTTAAAGGAAGCATAGGTCAATATGCACATCAAATTAAAGGTCTTTTTTAGTAGAATACAATGCCACAAATCACACTTTATTTTATTTCCAACGGCAGCAGCCAATTTACAAAGATAAACATGATGGTTGAATACAACAAAATAGGTAAGCAAAATTTGATGATAAATATAAGTTAACAAAGATATAACAGGTTATAAATATCCAAAGCGTAACAACAAAAAAAAAATAAGATTAACAAACAACAATAAATACTCTAACATAGCAACAACAGAAAATAAAGATTAACAAACAGCAATAAATTAATTACTAGTCTTTCCCAGAAAGAAGAAGAGAGGAGGCCTGCCGACGAACCTGCTGAAGTCCATCGAAAAACAGGTCACACCCAGACGCAACTCGATTTCCCAGGCGAGTAAACCTTGCGAAAGGACTGTTGAAGTCGAAGTTGGTTGAGTGGTATCTTCGACCCAGCAGATCTCGAGATCTTGTGTTTGTAGGCACTCTGAGGTCGATTTCAGCTAGGAGATCTGGACAGTTCATGTGACCATTGACTATCTTCCAGAGAAGAATAACATCAGCCACGTCACGTCGCAGGGCAAGAGGTGACAAGTTCAGATTGCTGGACAGTTCCTCCACAGGCACATCAAGATAGGCAAAACCCAGCCGGACACCAACCAAACGAAGAAAACGCCTTTGTAGAGCCTCCAGTCTCGTCCTATTGCCAACAGTGTAAGGCGACCACACGGGACTTGCATATTCCACTAGCTGTCTCACAAGGGAACAATACAGAGAGCGAAGAGCAGAAGGGTTGTCGATGCCTCTGGAGAATCTTGCTATGAAACCAAGCATCTTGTTTGCTTTGTTACTGATGTGATCTATATGCCCAGAAAATCCCATGTCGCTGGAAAAAATAACGCCTAGGTCTTTTATACACTGGGACCGTGGAATGGATGTACCAGAAATGGAGTATACGTACATGACTGGGGATTTGATGCGGTGATAGGTTATACAAGAGCACTTACTGGGATTTACAGACATGTTATTCCTGACACACCAATCCTCAATTTCAGAAAGGCTATTTTGAATTTCTTGAGAGTCTTCTGGTGTAGACACAGTAGTGAAAATCTTCAGGTCGTCAGCAAATTGTAAGGCCTTTACAGTTAAATTGTCTAGTAGGTCATTGACAAAAACATTGAAGAGGCAAGGTCCCAGCAAAGAACCTTGTGGAACTCCTGAAGAAGGTGAGAACTGAGTGGAAGTGGTAGAACCAATCCTCACGACAAGAGAACGTTTTTGAAGATAACTAGAAATCCATGACAAAAGAGGTTCAGCCACTCCGTAGCCCAGCAACTTAGACACAAGAATTGTATGGTCGACCTTGTCGAAGGCTTTTGCCATATACTTGGTAGTTCTTGCGAAAGGCAGACAAGACATATTCTTGAAAGAGCAGGAGATTGGAGACAGTAGACTTGCCTTTCATAAAGCCATGTTGGGAAGGATGTATTATTTTGGATAGAAAAGGATTCAGTCTATCTACCACGATACTTTCAAAGACTTTGCCAATTGCCGGCAGAATAGTGATTGGACGGTAGTTCCGTATGTCGCTGGGATCATTTGCTTTATGTAAAGGAATGATAAAGCCCGACTTTAAAGAGCTAGGGAAGATTCCTTTGTTAAGTGATTCGTTGAACAACACTGTGAGGGGTTCAGCTAAGAGAGATCGGCAGTGATGAAGCATAGATGGCGGTATATTGTCAATTCCAGCTCCCTTTGTAGTGTCCAGATTCTTAAGCTTGCTGAGAACTTCTTCAGTTGAGGTTGTTATAACACAGAGAGAATCGAAGACGGGATAGCTAAAGCTAGGTGAAACTCGTGACGATGGAGAGTAGACCGAGTTGAAATAACTGGAAAACAGCTGACATATGCTTGTTGTGTCACTGGCTACTTCGTCATCCAAATGCAGACTAGACGGCATGTCAGGAGTATTTCTTTGAGCCTTAACTAGTCCCCAGAAAGCTCGTGGATTAGAAGATATGTTTGATTGAACATTGGATAAATATCGAATGTGGCATTCACGAGACAGCGACCTACAATTATCTCTCAGCCTTGAGAATTCATAATAATGGACAAGATTGAAACTTCTCTTGAAACGTGCATGCGCAGCTTTCTTTTCAATAATGCATTTTTTTAGGTCATCATTAAACCACCTAGGGAAGCGTGAGATACCAAATTTCTTCATCGGACTTGCATTTTTGACGATTTTCTCTAAGGAACTTTCCAAAAGATCAAACTTTTCATCAGTTGAGATCGGCTGGTGAATAAATCCCATATCTGCTTCCTGAAGGGCTATAAAAGCAGCGGGGAGGTCACATTTCCCCAAGTTGTAGCCGCTGTAGCTGTTGTCACAAGTAGAAGGCATATAGCACTCAAGAGTAAGGGACAGAGGAGGGTGATGAATTTCAGGTTTAATCAACCAATCGTTGGCCCTGATAACTTGCACTTCACTATCAGAATGGAAGACCAAGTCCAATGTTACTCCTCTATGGTTTTGAACATGATTTATCTGGAAGAGAGAGTGCAGAGAAGACATGTCACGGAGGTATTCGCAGCAATGTTGAGGAAGGCCAGATACAGGTAAGTTGACATCGAAGTGAGGCAAGTTGAAGTCTCCAAAAATGAGTGTCTTCTTTGGGAAATTTGCCAATTCGACTGTCTCAGTAACCGCATCACAGAATTCACGGTAAACAGAAAGAGGACTTGAAGGAGGAATGTAGACACAAGCCAGAAGAAGATCAAAACCAGGTCCCAATTTCACTAGGGCAAAGACACTTTCAATGTTGAATCCAGAGTATAGTCGCTTAGACATAAGCTTCTTACGAACTGCAAGTAGGGTTCCTCCACCAGAACTTTTGTGACTTGTAGCAGCAGACCTATCACATCTATGAACAATGAAGTCAGTATCGCCAACGACTTCGGAGTCGGGGATATCAGGAGAGAGATTTGTTTCACATAGTAGAATAACATCATCAAGGCATGCAGATAAATTATTTTTTAACTCGATGAGCTTCGAACGAAGACCATTTACATTTTGGCAGTAAACATCCAGAGAAACATGCTGCTGCTTACCGTTGGAATTTATTCGTTTTTTGGCACAATAGAAGGCGTTCCATTCTTGTATCTAATCGTTAGGGAAGTATCACCGGCATCTTGTTTGGACTTTAAGGTGGCACGAAGAGTCTCCAGATGTCTCTTCTCTCGAGGAGTGCGGTCATGAGAGATTGATATTCCCCGCATGCTAATAGGAACATCATTTTCATTGAAGTTTTTGAAAATATAAATAGCAGCGCCTTCAGACGGCATACAAAGCATAAGAGGACGATTTGTCCATTTTTTCCCCAATCTAAAATGACGAACATCTGAATACTGAACATTAGACTTCAAATGAACTAGAAAATCCTGGACAAAAACAGCATCCGCAGTTTTTGAGACTGTGTTGGAATCGGGGATGTTATGTACAATAACATTTTTTGCACGTCGATTACGATCATTGCATTCGGATAAGACATCTTCAAAAAGCTGATCACTACCCGCTACCTGTTTATCCTTGATAGTGCTTAATTCCGATTCAACATAGGCCAAACGAGGCTCAAATTCCTGTAATTTGGAGGTCACTAATCCAGGTCTTGTTTTATAAGTTGTAGTCCTTCTGAGAGTTCTGTTTTAGTGGCAAGGGAGGACAATTTAGAGAGAATGGCATCCAGCTTGGCATCTATTGGGCTTGGCAGCGTCTTTTTACAGTCAGTTCTATGACAATACCATTTTATACTGTTATCGTTGCTAGATCGTTGGTATTCAGATTTAGACATTTTGACACATTCTCTGTGAAACCATCTCTCACATTCGGCGTCACAGCACAAGCCATCTTCTGTATCTAAGACTTGCTTTACACAAACAGGACAGGAAGTAGACATAATTATAGAATGTACTGAATTTTATATCTCAAAAATATGCTTTGTGAAATGCAACAGCGAGAAGGCAGACAGTTCATAAATCAGTAGCTACTCAGTTCACCACTGGAAGTGTGCTTTTTATATAGTATTTATGTTGCTTAGCAAACCTGATATTCAAAGGGCTGTGGCCAGAGAAAAAAAATTGGCGTGAGATGACTGATGAAACGACTTTTCCTTTCAGATCAGACAGAAATGTTAGTGACGTCA